GTCATGTGATTAGAGACTGCCGTGCACCGAGGGAGAACAATGGACATTGGCCATATCCGTATGTGATAGGATTGAGTGAATTCACTGGTTGGCTGACCTGGTAATGTCGGGTGGGGAGTTGGGGAAATTGACTTAGGTGCCCTCACGCCAACATTTCACAATTAGCAACGTATGTGGCTGTTTGATTTGAGTAGACGGAAGAGAATCAAGACGTCAGCGATGTAACTGGACCAATGATGATCAGAATCAGAATTTATCCTGGAGAAATCCGATGAGCTATGAAGCTCTTTTTCACGGATGCCTAAGAAGGGGTGGGTCAAAAAGTTACAACAGCAAACATTACGAAAAAACGATTAGTGCAAAGTACAGGAAATTAAAGCAAATGACTAAAAATAATAACAAATTGCAAGTACACCAATTCCTAAGCTTGCAGAAATACAACAGCAAGAACAGTCCCAGACCCCACACCAAGACAACAACACACAGTCCCCCGATAAAATTGCACATTGAAATAAAATGTAACATAAAATTTTTACAATGGAACAAAGGTGTATTTTGCGAACGTAATTTGATTGTAATTACCGGATTTAGGTTACGCGCGCGAATAGCACTTTAGCACGCATTCACCTTTCGCTTTATTCATTCAGTATAATCGCGCGTACTGCTTAGGGCAGGATGTGTTAAAGCAACTTCACACTAAGTCCTCGTGCCGATCGCTGCTACGTCCAGTTCGTGAGAATGTGTTTTGATGTCATCAGCAAGTTGCTCCAAACATATTTTGCGATGTGGTTGTGAAAACAAAGCCCGTCCCCCTGCTCCGACGAACCGTGGGGGGTGGTATTAATATTCGCCAGAGTCACGTGATGGGAAAATTCCACGTTCCTATGGTGGAAACCAGGATGCCTTCAAGACAGAGCTGTCACGCGATTAAACCGATCCGCCAAACGGAATTGTCATGACCCAGAGATTGTGCATTGGGGCTTGGTGTAAAACCCGCCGTCTGCACGCAGGGTTCATTTCGATGGCAAAGTTAGCTTTAGGAGTCAATGCTTTTACTTTTTAGACCAGAGTGAACTGCGTGCCATTAGCGCCGGATACAGCCATATGTTTCGCTCGCTAAAAGCGAAACTCTTCAATGTCGCATGCATGTTTGATTTGAGGAGCCTGTCAAACCTTTAGTGAAAATAAGGACCAGAGGAAAATTTCAAGGGTGTTACGGTGAGCTTTACTTGCTATAATGTAACTATTTAACAGATGAATTACTCTGAAACTTGAACTTAAGTTAAGATTGCCCATCAACGATAGCCAATAAACCGAGTAACAGTCATGAAGCAAAGTTTCTTGTTAGATATGACACTTAGACTGGGGATAGTGAAACATCAGGCGTTTGCTTTAACATAAAAATCCATAGAATACATAAATCTCTCTTCAGTATTTTGAAGCTAAGGCTTATATCTCTATTTCTAAGTCTTTATTTAAATTTAAAATATACAATCCAGCTAAGATGTGCTCTCTCCGGCAGTACACTCAATGTGAGAGTTCAAATCCCTTTTGGGAGTAACGCATTATCGGCAGCTGCTACTCTGTGGTGTGGGGAGGCCCTCACCCAGTGTTGGATCGACAAAGGGCTGTATATATATACACGTGTGTGTATTCTGACTGTCGCTTGTGTTCATGTGTGCACGTGTATGGATGTTACGTGGGGGGAACGGTAGGGCAGCGGTTAGTACACTTCGATTGAATATCTGATCTGCTCCCCGGGCCTTCCCTGGTCAACAACTCGGCCTTCAGTGGCACTGGGGAGACAAATGCGGCTGGGCTTGGTGCTGATCACCACCACCCCCTTGTGCGGTGGCGTGCTCCATTTCACACGTGCTCGCGCTAACGGCACTTGGCCGATCTGTTCGACGCTGCACGCGGGGTATGTGTCTTTGCACGGTACGTCTGCAGTAAGGGGCCATCCATTTAGTATGTACGCATAGAGGGCGTTAACCCAAATGCGTACGCTTGCGTATGGGGGGTCTACTGACAATGTTAGTACGCATAGGAAACGGGGTGGAGGGGGGGGTGAAGCCTCGATAATAATTTGTCTACATTGGCCTTCAAATGAGTTAGATAGACTATCTGTTTGCTTAAACACGTTAATATTATTAATCCTTGATCGTTTCTGGGGTGGATTAAATATCGGCCGTTCTATAGGATTGGGGGAGGGGGTGCGTCAAGCGAACGTACGTAGGTGGGGGGGGGGTGTAAAAAGTCCGCGTGTGTACAGGGAGGGGGGGAAGGGGTCAAGTTTTGACAGAATTTTGCGTACGTACTCAATGGATGGCCCCTAAGCAGCGCTGCTTGTGAAACGCTGTGGATAACCTCTCTTTACCTCCTGACCTTGGCTCGGCGCTGCGGCAGTAGAGGCGTGGGCTTCTGGCACAGCTGGCTCGCTACCCCTGGGCACCTGGCGCTTCACATCGTGCCAGTCCACGGCTACCTCCGGAGCACGGGAGAGAAACGAAACGAATATAAATTAGTGCATCCGCTGCAAGCCTCGTCGAGGCGAAACGAGCACAAAGGGAATGGGGAAAGGGAACAAAAGAAACGTGTAACGGATTGCGTTGTTCGTGCACGTGTATTTACATGACAATCACCCTGAAATCAGTGGCGCAGTGGTTACCGCACGCACATGCACAGAAGCCTTTGTGTCAGTTCACTGCTGAACGAGAGCCTCCCCACGCCGTGCGGGTCGCGGGGGGGGGGACTATTTGACCATACTTCACCATTGCTCGTCAGTGCGGGTTTGTGAGCATAGACTTGAGCGACCGAAGTCTAATTTTGATTCCTGGTCACGGCTACCATCAGTGGCGAGGGATATCCGAACCTTCCCTTGGGTCCCCCCCCACTTCACCAACCCTCGCCGACTGGCCTGCTGTGAAGTACGGCTTCAACGACCCCCGTAACCGACACAGCATGGGGAGGCCTTCATCCAGCAGTGGATTAACACCGGGCGGTACATTGTCAATGTTGATCCTTTCGCCGGGCTGCAGGCATCTCTCCCATCATCCCCTGTATCCCGGCGAAGAAATAAAAAAAGGCAATTTACGTGACATCCAAAGAAAATGGCCTTCCCAGCCAGAGGTGGTGGCCCAGTTGCCTGTCAATATCCGTCAGTATAAAACAGAGCATTAGACAATAATCGTCGTGGCCTCGATGAGACGAACAAGGCCCCGTTAATGAGGGCTGCTTGCACGGGCATCGATGTCCCGTTAAGGAACTGTTTTGCTTCAATGGATTTCCACCCCCCCTGCCCCCCCCCCACAAACATCTCGGATACTTTTGAGAGGAGCCCGAATGCAAAACGTACTGGCACTCCCATTTCATAGCGCCAGAGCAAGATTGCTTTTCATGATGGCGGGTGGGTGGGGGGAGTTAAAAGTAATGGTCGGCGAGGATTTTTCATCACCTCTGTAATGTGCCGCATATGGTCTCTCGATTCGGTCTGATAACGAAGCCAGAAATATTAACTGTGGGGGGACATGAGCGCGGAATCTTCATGTCGAGCGCCCGTTTGGGCATTCGTATTAAATCGGCCCCGGGGATGGCGCCCGCGACTCTCGGTTGGAGATGCGCGTGAGTTCAGTGGTGGGCCTATAGAGACACTGGGCCTCGACTTGGTTATTGGGAATTCCGAGCACTGGCTTAAGAACTCCCCCCTCCCCTCCCTCAAAAAAAGAATGATGATGGCACCCAATTGTTTGTTCGAACCGGGAAAAAAATCAACACTCTTCGTGATATATTCTTGGTTCTTTCGGTAAAGTCACGTAGAAGGGAAACAATAAAATACATTTCTTGCTGTGGTTTTCACACCTGATGATTGCTTGTGTTGCAATCGAAACGTCGTGAGAATTGTATTGTTTTATATTTTTATTATTTTATTGTTTCCCTTCTACGTGACTTTACCGAAAGAACCAAGAATATGAATCCCTGCAGTCACGAAAGCTTTAAATCGAAATTTAACTCTTCGTGATAATTTAAGCTGCAGGGTTTTTGATTGACGACATGATTTCTAATTCATTTATTCATTTTGTGTGTGTGCGTCAAGAAGTTGTATGACAATTTCATTAGTTCACCAATCAAAATGAATAATGACACTCTGGATACGTGCGTCGGTAATGCGTTCATCGCACGAGCCCCGTGCAGCCACCAGTGGCGCTGCACGCACCACGACGGAGGAACGGGACTCGATCAAAGCGTGAAAATGCGTCAATTTGCAATGCGGGTTAATCGTTCAACTCCGCCTGTCTGCGCATGTGTCACATGCTGTATACGAACACACACCCCGTTTTATTTTTCAAGTCACGATTAATGAGCACCGCACCCGAAGGCCCAAAATGCCAAAGCCGCATGCAGCGTACGGTGCTGTTCAAGATGTAATAAACAAGAGTTGATGTATATTCTTGATTCTTTCGAAAGAACCAAGAATATGAATCCCTGCAGTCACAAAAGCTTTAAATCGAAGAGTTGATGTGCTTATTGTATCGAGCAAGGTTTATCAAGCTTTTACGAAAGTGACGAGGGAATTCAAAAGTGGAGCAGTGTGACAATTTGATTCAATTCCAACCTTCTGTAAGTGTTGGGAAAATCCATGACAACTGTAAATCGCTGGCTACAGGCCCTCTCGTTACCTTGGCTTCAGGAGGCGCAAGGCGATGGTGAACATTTGACGACTTCGGCTGTAACTGATGAGTCCTAATGAGAGCGAAACTGGTCTGCGGTCGTCTCTTTGTTTCGCCGCTGACTGATGGGGGATTGGTCACATTTTCAACTCTCTTTGGAGCTGTGGAGCAGACGAGGCATTGAGAGCGTTGTACATGCAATGTGGGGGCCATATGTTTCTGTCGTTTGCCCGGAGCACACCTTTGTGTGTTGTTATCTACGCACGCGGTTGCCGTGTCGGCGTGCTCGCTGTCTCTGACCCTACCTCGCCGCGCTGGTCGTTGTGCGTGCAGGCTGCTCATTTACGGCAGGTACTGCAGTCAGCTGGAGGGAGCCCACACGTGCATCAACCGGCTGCTGCAGACGCGGGAAGATTTCAAGAACAAGCTGGACGTACGTTCCCCCGGTTTTGTGCACGCGTGGACACGTGTACGCGCATGCATGTGCGTAGGGAGAGGCGCTGTACGGGGAGCGGTGGTGTCGTGGTGAGCGCTATGCTGCGCTACGCTGCGCTACGAACCCGGCGACCCGAGTTCCATTTCCCGCTCACGGCCAACACCGGTGACGATTATCTGAACCGGTCCTATGCCTCTCCTAGGTCGACTCAGCCTCAAATGAGTACCTGGTGCGATGTGTAAACATCGCCACTGGGGAGACAAAGGCGGCCGCGTGTGGTGTTGGCCACCCACACGTCCTTGTGTGCCATGCCGGTCTTCATAGCTGCTACTTTCTAACAGCACTTGCCCGAACATTTTGTTAAAGGCTATACGGGGGATCTTTGTTTTTGTCTTTGGAGTGGCGCTCTACCAATTAGCACCCTGTACCATGACCCCAGTATATTGACAGCACCAGAGCCGGTGTCAACATTTTTCTCTTTGCTCGTAGTCTGTGCTTAGTCACCGGTAAGCTGTGGAGTTTTAGCCGCGTCTTCGTCTGTAGACTTCGCGTGTGAGCGTGAAGGGTGCACAATACTACCAGACTCGCTGTGGATTCCCACACATCTCTCTGTGTGTGTCTCTGTTTGTCAAATTTCACACTTAACTTATAATTTTTGCAATCTTTGGAGAACGTAATCAACCAGGCTATGCGTTAACTGTGTTTTAGCCGACTCTCTGTTGCATTGCATTACATAAAAAAAAATTGCTACATTTTGTTTCCTCAAACTGCCTATTTCTCTCTCTAAAATGTACCAGGCTCTCATAGGTCCATTCTCTCTTTCTCTCCCTCGGTCGCTTCGGGGTGGATTTCTACACAACTCTCTCTAAAATGTACCAATCTTGTTGGGTCTTTCATTAACATGCTAATTTCTCTGCTCCAGCAGATCCACCTCTCTCTCTACCCCCCCCCCCCCCCCTCTCTCTCTATTTAAGGCCACGACACAGAGGCATTGGGTCTCTGTGTGTCTATGTTGTGTGTCTCTCTCTGTGTGTCTATGTTGTGTGTCTCTCTCTGTGTGTCTCTGTGTTGTCTCTCTCTGCTTGTGTGTCTGACTGTGTGTCTCCGTGTCTGTGTTTTGTCTCTCTCTCAAATTTAGTTCTACCTGATGACGATTGCTTGTGTTGCAATCAAAACGTCGTTTTCTATTATTTAATTTATTTTCTTTCTGCGTGACTTTACCGAAAGAACCAAAGAGTAATTCCTGCGGTCACGAAAGCTTCAAATCAAGTTTTTTTTACCAGACTCGTTCAAGCTCGGTAGATATTTTTACATATGTCCAATGATCGTTTTTGGACTCTCTGAATGCCACGAAGTCTGTAAGAATGTTCCTGAATTATCTTAGTATTCATTCAGACTCGTTAATATCATCTCATCGTGAGTCCGTTAAGCTTCGTCATCACTGGTGTTAGCCATTACCAAGAAATTAACTTTGGTCGCTTGGTTCATAGCGCAGTGTGCTAACCATAGCGCCACTACTCCACCCCGATAGGTATCTGTGTATCATCAATTTCACTGGAATGGCCTTTTGCAGGTAAGAGCACACAAATGTGTTTGACTCAAGATAGGTGCAAATGTAAAGGGGCAGCCCTTGCAATTACTCGCTCACACCACTGCCGGTGGATTTTACACGGGGGGTTATTTGGCCTACTCCTTCGGGGGGGACCACCCAACACTTTACACCACCATGCACGAGCGAGCCCATCGACTAACTGCGACGTCACCAACTTGCACCACAGCCGGGTGACTCGGAAGCGGTGGGGAGGCATTGAAGGGACTTGCACCGCTGTTTTTGTGTTCATCTGCCGCGACCTCTGGATTGCAAGTCCGGCGTGCGAGCCATTGCCCCGTGGCAGCAGTGCCACTTGCACCTCCGATTAGCACGGTCGGCTGCGTATGGTGCGATCGAAGTTCAGCATACGTACATACAACGTACATACAACGTACATACAACATACGTACATACAACGTACATACAACATACGTACATACAACATACGTACATACAACGTACATACAACGTACGTACATACAACGTACATACAACGTACATACAACATACGTACATACAACGTACATACATACAACGTACGTACATACAACATACGTACATACAACGTACATACATACAACGTACGTACATACAACATACGTACATACAACATACGTACATACAACGTACATACAACGTACGTACATACAACATACGTACGTACGTTGACTCGGGATGCTCGTTCAGAATAGCCGCACGTGCACATTTTTTTTTCGATGTCCTTTTCCCCGGCGTGCTCGCGCCCAGCCCGCGCTATTGACCGAGCGGTGCTCCCCTTTATGGCCCGTCGTGTTTTATTCATTGCAATTACCTGGCAGCATTAACCTCTCCCTCGTCCCGAGCTCGCCGCTGCTGTGTGTGGAGATGCATAATGTCTGGGCTGCCGCCAAGCGCGATGCATTCAAAGGCAAAGATCCCCCCGTGTAGCCTTCACAGACTGTTGGGGCAAGTGCTGTTAGCGAGCACCTGTGAAGGCCGGCACAGCACACGAGGGGGTGGGTGGCCAGCACCGTGCCCGACCGAACTTTGTCTCCCCAGTGGCGATGTTTAGACACCGCATCAGGTACTCATTTGAGGCTGAGTCGACTTAGGGGAGGCCCAAGACCGGTGAAGTTAATCGTCACTGGTGTTGGCCGTGGGCAGGAATTTAATTCGGGTCGCCGGGTTCATAGCGCAGCGCGCTAACTACTATACCTCCGCTCCCCAAACCCTGCCTTCACAAGGTTATCGTTTTTTCCACCTATATTTTTGGTTAAATAAACATAATTTTCATCAGAGAGTCATGATTAATCCACCACTGGTTGAAGGACTCCCCAAGTTGTCGCCATTTCTCGCGGTCTCCCGACGCAACGGTCTGACATAGCACCTGCACGGGAGTTGATTTCAGCACTCCGTCTCCGTGGTCGACGTACTCTCTCTCCGGCGGATTCTTAATTTTGGCCCTCCGCTTTGTTGTCAGGATCGACCGCTGGTTAGGAACTCTTCTGGCAATTCCTGTGTAGAGTGACATCACAGCCGTGCAAAGGCAGCGTGTGGATGCTTCCAAGGTGGCTCTGGTACAGAGTGTCGTGAAGTGGTGGATAGGGTCGCGTCGTGAATTTTCTCGTGAAGGGAAACGTCAAGATGAGAGTGAAAGTGCAGCCCCTGCGATTGCTTGCCGATGCCACTGCGGAGGGAATGGCTCCCACTCGAGGGAGCTGTCACAGAGCCCCTTACCCTTCTAGTGGCGAGTTGTGGGGGCGCCGTGGTGGCGAGGTGTTAACTACCTCGCCTGGTATTCAGAAGGTTGAGGGTTCGAGCCCGACCCTAACACCTCCTGTATATTTGGAGTTTGTACGTCTCTCTCCTCGTGGTTACGTGGATGTTCTCTGGGTCCTGCGGTTTTTCCTTTCACACTTAGAATCAACGTGCGTTTAGAGTATTTGGCTGCTATACGTTTGCACACTATAAGCCACTTCGTTGGGCGATCATTTGTGGCCAGGTCACTTCTGAAAAAGAGCTTATATAGTTCACTGGGCCTTACCCGGTAAAATAAAAATAGTTTATAGTTTTAGTTTAGTTTTCCCTTACCCACACTTTACCCCATCGCATGCGATTTGACTCGCTGAGAATGTCAAAACGTCTTAAATTGACATACGGGTGGCTGCATAGTATGGTCATGTGTGCCTCTCACGCAAAAAGTGTGAGTGCATGAAAAAGGTTTAAAAATGAACTTGAGTCAGTAGAAAAAGTGGCTGGGACGTCAAAGCAGATGTCAACGAGATGGTTGCGTACATGTCCCTCACGAATGCGGCACTCCGATGGGACAAATGCACGTGGGTGATGGTGGGAATACCCAGAACAATGGGGTCCATTTCACTCGCTGCACTTCACATTTTTTTCGAAACTAAAAGTGCGTGTTCGCCTTGAAGCACTCTCATACACGGAAGGCCGATGTTTAGGACACAAAGGACCTTCTTCAGAGCACTAGGAATGTTCAAGCAGCATCAGTGCAGTACAAAGGTGCATCGACCTTTTGACTCGAGGTGTCTCTGTGGAAGCTGGCACACGAAACGCACGTGTGAGATGCACGACAGCCCGCCCAGGCATCATAGTGTCGTCAGTCCACTGCTGGATGCGGGCCTCTCTATGCTGTGCAAGTCGTGGGAGATCGTGCGGGTTGGTCGAGGCAGGACACTGTAGATATGACATTCTTCTTCTTTCGTATGGCATGTAAGCAACTGCCCTTCAACCAATCCAAGGCGGCAGTAGACGCTGTACGGATTGCACCGATACCGCCAGGGTGTGCGTGGGTGGCTCACTCGTCGGTGGTGTGTTTGATGTTTTGGGCTTTACTATAGTCGCAGATTGGTGATTCTTTGATTTTCCATTTATGGAACAACGTGCACGCCGCACATCTCCCATGCTGCGTCCGAGCCCGGCTCAGTGTGGTCCACAGCCGTCGTGAGAGAGAGAGAATCCCGGCACTTCCACGCTCGGGTCCTCAATGATGTTTTTGTTTCCCACGTTCGTAGCCGCCACACCCTTCAGACCGTCGAGTGCCGGTGTCTTTATTTCCAGCCGCCAGGAGCGGAGGCGCCTACCCAGAAAGGCTTCCTGGATTTCAGCCGAGGGCGTGGAGGTTGCTTTATGTCTTGGTGGAGCGGCAGGGCGAAGTTTTCCACGATTTTGTTGTGCTCCCGGATCGTCGCGGCAACACGTTGGACGTTGGCTGCAGCGATGTTCGCCAGCACAGGAAGCCACGGGTGGGGAGTGGACTTCAGACGTAACATGGGAACGTAGACGTACCATCCTACGACATAGATTGTCTTCACTGCCTGCTGCTCGTCACTGGTAAAATCGAGAGGAAAGTCAGCTGGCCTGGTTGGCACAGTGCTTGGAGCCAAGTGACTCACGATGCGGAGGTTGCGAGTTCAAGTACTGGCTGGGGGGGAGGGGGGGAATGGGATTACTCAACACAATCATCTCATCTGGGGGCTGATAAAAAAAAATATGTCGCGCTCACGTGGGAAGTCCCGCTCTGGCTGTCCACACGGATTGACGCGTAGATGCCAAGGAGACGTCAGTGCCCACCAGCAGCTTGAGGGCTACAAACAAGAAATGAGAACCCCTCCTTCTGACCCCCTCCCCCCCCGCTGTACTTATTTGGGCGGAACATCGCTTTGACTTTGGAAAGACTTAAACCCACAACGGCCGTCATATTCCGTTTTGTATACGTGACTGTCGGGTAATTATTGACTGCACACACGTCAAAGTCTTCACCTGCGCACACTGCACGGGCTGGCTGTACAGACAGCGAAGACCCCCCGCTGCGATTCTTAAACATCCACTCGTTGCTATGACTCATTGAGCCTTGAATGCACCACATCTTGTCAGATCTTGAAATTTGAGACTGCCTGGCAATGTGTCAGCTTGGGCTGTGACCGAGGTCAGGACGTGGCAGTATATCAGTGGATTCCTGAGTGTGTCTGTGTGTAGCTTTGAATGTTTACCCGCCTGAGCATCGCGCTTTGAGATGCGCTTCTGCGGCCGTCTGGAACGCTCTTCCTTCCGATATTCGGAAGCCGCTGTAGCTTTTCACTTTTAATTATAAATTTAAAAAATACTTTCTTTGGAACTGCTTTTAATATTTAGTTTGTTGTCCTTCCGCCGGATCTCCGATGAGCACGGTTGGCTACGTACTGTGCGAAATAAGTTCAACATACGGACTTGCGTGCACGCGTAGCGGGGTTTCTCCGTGTTCTCTAGTTTTTTCACTCGTGCCCGACGCTCATTAATGGAATTGGCCAAACACCCCAAAGCTGGAGCCCTCCTAAAGCATTATCAGTACTCAGTGAGGATTCCCTAGTTAAGGGGCATTATTATTATTAACACTTTCCAACGAAGGTTGAAAGCCTTTATGTATTAGTTCCGCCCATCTGTCTGCAATGGGGGGGGGGGGGGGGGGGGCGGGAGGAGAAGGAGCACCCACCCTTACTCATCTAAGGATGAATCATTACACTCGTCAACAAAAAAAAAATTCTGGCCTGGAGGGTGCTGATTCTAAATCTGATCTCAGATTTGCTCTATCACATATCATTTTTATGCTATCGGCATACCCCATTTTCATTGATTTTACCCGAAATTAACTCTGTCACTTATGATTGCAAGTTGTTGCGAGTCAGTGACTGCTTTAGTGTTAAAATATGGTGCTGTATTTTTAGGATAGTATGTTTATAATATCATTTTATATAGATATCCACATTTATTTAATATTTTTCTTCTGCAGTTTTTATTGAAAATGCTATATTTGATATCTCAAAAACCTAATGTGATAGACAAAAACTGATGCCAGATTTTGAATCAGCACCCCAAAATTGCCTTAACACCGTTGGAATACCTCATGCCAGAAAAAGTGTGTTGACCAGTGTAATGAATAAAATGTGAGGATGAAGTAGTATTACTCTATCTTGGAGACGTTTACGAGCTTCCAATGTCTCATCACGGCCCGCAGACATTCTGCTGCCCTCTGCCGGCCTGGCACGGGGACTGCTGTTAGTATCAGTCGCCAATTAAATACTTCCGTCGATAAACGCACGTGGCAAATTGTTACGGATGACCTGTTGTGCAGACCGAAAGTAATTTTTTTACAAACATTTGTTTTACCACTTAAGGCCCACTGAGATAAATATCTCTCTTTCAGAAGCGAACTGGCCACAAATGATAGCTCAACGAAGTGGCTTACCACGTGTGAATGTTCAGCAGCCAAAAACTCTAAACGCGTGACGTTCATTCTAAATGTGGAGGGGAAAAGCCAGAGAACCCCGGAGAAAAATCCACGCGGCCCACGTTGCAGAGAGACACCGCGAACTCCAACAGTACGTGTGGCCAGTGTGGCAGAGTGGACAATATCACATCTCGAGGGGGGGGGGGGGGGGGCCCAAGTAGGGCTCTCTCTCTCATGGAGGCCCTCACACTATCACAGTGGCGTGACGAGAAATGCCTCTCCACAATTAACATCTCGCCACCATGGTGAGATGAATTTTTCCTGAAAACTTTCGTGACTGCAATAATTCATATTCTTGGTTCTTTTGATAAAGTCACGTAGATAGAAAACAAATAATAAAATACATTTTGTATTTTAATTAAATTTTATTATTTATATTTTGGTTTTCTATCTACGTGACTTTACCGAAAGAACCAAGAACATGGTAGAGATGCTAACGAGGTGGTAGAGGCAGCAGCTGCTTGCGTGAGGGCGGTGGCGGCAGCGGCGGCGGCAGCGCTGCAGTGTCCTCTGCCCAGTGCTCGTCTGCTCCCCAGCCGGGGAGCGGCGCCCTTCCCCTCGCTTCGGAGCGGCCGCTCGTTGGTGGCAGTCTGTCGCGTGCTGCCCTGTGATGGATCGGCCAGCGATGGCCATGCTGGCTCCTGGGCCTAATGTGTCATCACCCAGAGCCACCCCCTCCAAGGTTCTTGGGTTCAGTACCCTCTGGGCGAACGGATGAAAAATGAACGCCGTTCCTGCGTTTGTGAAAATGGTAAAAAAAAAATAAAGGACTCCCCGGTGCTGCGTGCGATCGTTTCTGAGATGTTGACCAGGGATAAAAAAAAAATAGTTTTGCAGAACAAAACTAAAACCGCGGCGAAAAATGTGTCTTCGCTTAACTAGTTCACAGCGAGATCAGACGGAAGCAGATACCTGAGGGGGGAATTGCTCTTCCCTGCGGTCTTGTGGTCAAAGGCTCGAGCTAAGAGCCAATGAGTCAGATGCTGGGACGGGTCCAATTATGCGCTAATAGATGCATTACTCATGGTTTGTGTTTGATGCCAAATGCAGAACTCTAAAAGTGAAAACGCCGTGCAAATCTGCTCGCTGTCCCGTGCCACTTTGGCAAAAACTGCTATCGTCGTCCGTCTGTCACCTACTCGTCTCTCTGATATTTGAACTGTTGTGGCATCACGCTCAGGAGCTATTGGCCTTGATTCTGTGCCCGGCTTATGATCTGTACTACGTGTGGATGTCTCATTGTAGGATGCAATCATTCTCTTAGTTTCCTTAGGGGCCGTCCATAAATGACGTCACGCGATTTTGGCCGATTTTTGACCCCCCCTCCCCCGCTCGTCACACGGCGTCACAAAAAGTCAGACCCCCCCTCAAATATGACGTCACAAAGCTCTGCCCCCCAAAAACCATATTTCAATTTTGAAAATGAAACATGCTTCAAATGACTTTAAACTATTGTCATTGTAGTGAGTATTTAATGTGGCGCTGCACTCTGATGTTGTGTTAAAACACGTGTTAAAAAGGAGGTGTTGGAAAGCTGCAATTTAGCATAAAAATTCACTTGAAAATATTCAACGTATAACTAAAACTGCAGAAGTTCAGAATATTATTGAAATTCTCTTATAATTATAACATATTAAAAGTAATTATAACTATAAAAACATACTTGAAACTTTGTAGTAGAACGAAGCAAAATGGAGAGTACAATTATAACAATCACATATTCATTGCACAGAATGACAAGCCCTGGTAGAATCATTAGAATAAAAATGTTTAATAACAATCATTAAAAAAATGTACAAAATGTATGCTTCTCCATTCTCCCATGGAGAAGCCAAATGCTCCTTCATGGAATAAATCAAAGGTGACCTTAGTAAATTTAAATAATCAATTAGTTAATAATAAAAATTAATACAAATTTGTGTTGTTATAACAATTATTTAATTAGGTAGAACATGTTTATATTTATTTAAAGTTGTGCCTTTTGATGTGACGTCACATTTCTCAACCCTCTCCCCCCTCGTCACACATCGTCACAAATGTCTGACCCCCCTCCCCCCCCCCTAGGTGCGTGACGTCATTTATGGACGGCCCCGTTCCTGTGCAGCTCAATGTTAGAAACCCTCTGTCTCCGACCTCTTATCACCTGACTCGGTCCGAGAGATGCTGCACCTCTCTCACTCACCGTCATCCACAAAATACATGTCTCTGTTGCTGCCCCTTTGGGTTATAGGTACAAGGCTTCTGATGAACAACTCTGTAAAAATAGAGGTGTGTGTGCATATAAGGGGATGGAGCAGTGGCTATTGCACCACACGTTGAACCTGGTTAGCGGAGTTCGATTCCTGGCCAAGGCCAACATCACAAAAAAGTGACGTCTGAACATTTCTTGCCCTCCCCACTCCCAACTTCCCACCTCTGATGAGCACGGCTGGCTATGCATGTTGCGAAATAAGTACACACTTCACCAACACACACCCACACTAACCAGCCTGGTAAAGTATGGTCAAACAACCTCCACGTTCGACATGGAGTGCCCAGGACCTCATCCAGCAGGATATAGATCCTGGCAGCTGTTGTTGCGATTGCCAATGGCAATTATGCGCATGTGTGTTGAACTTCTTTCGTACCGTACGTAGCCAACCTTGCTAATCGGAGATATAGCATGAAGGCACGAAGCGAAATGCGCTTCTGCCGAGGTGAACGCGTCTTTGCCGGCGTCTGGAGATGACGGCGAAGAACGAAAAACGCGATGCCGTCCATAAGCGTGGGCGAGACCCGCGTGCCGATCTGACGAAAGGAGAGAGACGTAATGGAGCCGCTTGATCGGCGCCCGCTGAGAGTCGAACGTGATCCATCGCCGTGCCGTGCGGTTCTCCTTCTCCCCGCTGTTGACATCGCGCCAGTGTAATCGACGCGTCCGTTTTTGTTTGTTTGTTTCTGCCCCGGCAGGAGTGCACGTCGAAGGAGAACGGAGGCAAGTTCTCCCTGCGTGACCTTCTCGTCGTGCCGATGCAGAGAGTGCTGAAGTATCATCTTTTGCTCAAGGTCAGGCGTTGCCCACGAGACCCCACCGAGGTTGCGTGCGTGCGCGGGTTCTTGCTTCAATTAGGGTTTCCACCTGCCCGGGTTGCTCCAGGATCACGCTCTCTTGAGGCGGAGGTTCTGCGGAATCATCTGCGTGTATCCTGGACACTCACGGTACATGAGGTCATGGGTTCGATCCCAATACTGACGACTGTTTATTTGGAGCTTGCTTGTTCTCCCGTTGGTCGTTTGGATTTTTTTCCGGGTCCTCCGATTTTTCTCTCCACTTTTAGAAACACGCACTTACAGTATTTGGCTGCTGTAAATTTCCACGTGATAATAAGCGCTTCGTTGAGCTATCATTTGTGGCCAGGTCGCTTCTGAAAAATAGATATATAGCCCAGTGGGTTCTTACCTGTTAAAATAAAAAGTGTAACAGTTCAATAATAGATGTTCCGTCTCTAGGGATTATCCAGAGAGAATACTGAAACAAATACGGTGACTTAAAAAAAATATTCAATCCATATCACTAAAACTTTAGCTTTTTACAGCTGTGAAATTATACACTCTCCCAAGACGATGCATTCACAAGAAGCTCTCGGCACTCCACCGAAATCGTGACACGTTTTTTATTCCCACGGTGTGTCCTGATTTTTTGGTTGGCAACCGTCACGTCAATATTGAACACCGTCTGCAAGGATTACCCCCCATTGTACACATGGGGCTCCCAATCCAAGCACTCGGCAATCGCAGTGCCACAGCAGATCTCTTCATAGAGCCGAGGCACATCCACCTCTCTCAGTGGTGTTCCTCAATGGAAGCATTAGGAAATTGCATTTAAAACTATCACACGTACTGGGTGTCTGGGTGCCAACGAGCAACTCCCATTGCTCGTGGGCTGTACGTGTTATTGGCAAGCCGGATATAAAGTTGACCGCGTGGTTTTGCTCAGGGGCATCGTAAAAACGAACAAAATGTTTTGTTCTCGGAGCAAAATGCAAAATAATGCGACGGATCGATCCTCGTGAAACCTGCTTAACTGGGCACACCTGCAAATGAAAATCCTGTGCATGATCTGAGAGATTGTTTGACCATTGTCCATGGATATATGATGGACAATGGTCTCAACAACGAGTCACATCCATCTGCTCACGTGTGCCCTTATGGCCCCGTATCAGTCCGCCTGCTTTGCTTTGTTTGGGCTTCCCCCAATACCGTGCCAGGTCATGGGGGGTTAATTTTTTAGGGTTGCCGAGGGCAAGTAGCATAGTACAATACAACAATGGATTGTGTTGCATTGCCGTTTGCTGCGGTGGCGTAGCGTTTAGCGCGCGGTGCTACGAACCTGGCGACCCGGGTTCGATTCCCGCTCCTGGCCAACACCAGCAACGATTATCTGAACCGGTCCTGGGCCTTTCCTAGGTCGAGTCAGCCTCAAATGAATGCATGGTGCGGTGTGTAAAGATCGCCACGAGGGAGACAAAGGCGGTCGGGCGTGGTGCTGGCCACCCACCCCTCGCGTATCATTCCAGCCTTCACAGGTGCTCGCTAACAGCACCTGCCCCAACAGTCTGTTACGGCTCTACGGGGGACATTTGTCTTTGTCTGCTGTTCATAATGTAGCAAAACTACTCGCAGGCTCACAAAGCAGTATTGGAACCTTTTTAAAAACACGTTCAAAAGTGAAGTTAATGGTAACTTCTTAAAATGTATGAGATGTGTAATACGGCATTGCATTCTTAAGCCTAATATAGCCCAGGATATTAAAGTCTTTTGCAGAATACACTGCATCTCGATGATTGATAACAGAAAGCAAAGTCGAGTGTGGCCCAGACACCATGATCATATGCTTTGTTAAAACACCGTACATCTTATTTGTGTACTGCAACATAATGAGAAAGAGAGAGAGAAAAGAATCCACAATAAAAGGCAGGAAATGAAAAGGGAAAGCGGGCAGCAAAATGTCTGATGGCCGTGTTTATGTTGGCTGCGATGTGGACAAGAAGAAGGCGAAGTGCCAGACGGGAAATGGTGTCGTATCCGGTTGAGGATTGTGGGCATTAAAAGCAGCCGCACACTCACACCACGAATGTCATGGCACGTATCGCACGAGGTTAATGTAGCCTTCCATTTAAGTGTATTTTTAAATCCTTTATATTAAGTTCACTTGCTTGCTTGCGCGCTTACGACCGTGCAAATCTTTCGGTCGTTTTTTAACCCACTTCCCGTGATCCAATCGAGCTGACATTTTGCACACAGACTCGTTGTGCGTGGCAATTTATTTTCTTGAAAAAAAATCTCCAAAATTTTTCACTTTTTAGGAATTTTTTTTCATATTTAATTTAAAATACCAATGTGATAAAAATGAAACTCTTACTCAAGAAAAGCTGAAATGAATAATAAAATAAAACCGATGCCACGCATATAAAGGATTTATAGTGAAAAACTTTGTTTTTACGGGTTAATTTTTTTACTTCCTGCCAGCTCTGTAGAGACACTCCAAGTGTGTTTTTTTCCAGTCAGGCTGCGTGTTGAGCAGGAACCAGGACTGTCTTGGCTGAGCGACTTTTTTCTTTGTCGGCACCTGCAGCCGTCTGAATCTCTCTCTTTTTCACTGCACATTCTCAGCAGCAGCAGCAGCAGCATCCAAGCACCATCATCCACCTTCAAGCAGCTGCCTAAGGCTCATGCTCTCACCCATCCAGACTCTCACTCACCCAGACCGAGTTCTTAATCAAATGTTACAAACCATTTGTAAAATATGCGTGCGGTTAACCATGTTTATTAATCATAACTCTCTCAAGCTTGAGGTACGCCCTACTGCGGGCATCTTCAGGAGTTGATTAGGTGAAAATGCTCGAAGTAGTGCGTGGTGAAAGCTTTCGAGAAGAAATGCTAAAACACACACAGCCCAACCTGGAAAACACCACTTGGATTACAAGTGGCTATGGAAGCCCACGGTGGCGAGATGCGAACTACCTCGCCTGATATGTAGGAAGTTGTGGGTTCATACCCGAACATAACGCCTTTGATTTGGAGTTTGCATGTTCTCCCCGTGATCGCGTGGATTATTCTCCGGGTCTTCAGGGTTTTCCCTCCACATTCAGAATCAACGTGCGTTTAGGGTATTTGGCTGCTATACATTTCCACGTGATAAGCCGCTTCGCTGAGCTATCATTTGTGTTAGCCGGGTCGCTCCTGACAAAGAGCTACATTGCGGTGAGAACATCCAAATATATATATATACAGGCGTCAGGGTTGGGATCGAACCTTCCAGGCAATGGCGAGATGTTCACTACAATGGAGTATGAATAAATATGAATGAATATGCATGTGTGTGTGTGTTATCACGTGTGCTTGGATGTCAGGAGCTGCATAAACACACGACGGACCAGACAGAGAAGGCACAAGTGAAGAGAGCCCTGGACGCTATGGAGGTAATGAAGACACGCACAATTGGACTCGACGGGAATAAGAAATGGCCTGGTGGCACGGATCTCAGAGTGCTGAGCTGTTACTGCTGAGATCCTGGGTGTGAAATCAGGCAGGATCTCAAGCGCAGCGAGTTTATGGTCTCGGTCAACTGCAATACCTGTTGCGTTTAATTTGTTTCAGCTCTTAATTGTCAGTTTGACTGTCGCGTGATAAACATTATTACCTTGAGTGGCAGAGCGGATAGGAAACTGCCACCGCCTACTGTGTGGAACGGAGGTCAATTGAAGGGGTCTCAGAAGTAGTTCTTTGATGTCAACTTCCACCGTCTGTTGTCTAATGCAAGGGGTAGCCTTGCTCTGCGAGAGTTTACATTTGGTTCTTCATCTCACGGCGTGAAGCCAAGAGAACAATCGGGATACAATTGTGGATAAAACATTTTTGTTATTTTACCCGACTGAATCTCAGACTGCATTTAAGAGGGCCCTTTTCAAATCTGTGGCCGATAATTTATTTGTTTCGATAATAGTTTTCCGTGTGCACTGTATGATTATATTTAATTCACCTATGCTATTTAATAATGTACAATTTTAATGTTGTCTGCAATTTATTTGCTGTAGATGTGAGATGCACGAGTACATTTAAATATGTTATGCAAATTACATTTGCTCTATTAAGACATCTAATTTATACGTAGCATTTAATATTCACTATAAAGAGCATTTCGCATGCTACGAATGTGGTGATATGGCCTCGAGTTAAGCCTCTTGTTGGTTTACAACTGTTGGTAAACTTTGCAGTTCAAGCAAACAAAAAACAAACGTTCAAATCTTTCGCTAGAAATCAGCGCAGTCAGCCCCCTCCACGCATACACCACATTACGGATTTGTTGACTGTCATTAGATCTACATTGTAACTTCGCATATTGCATCTCGTCACGTGACCGACCTGACCAGTTAACCGCTCACACCCATTGCAGTATTTGTGCACGATATTGTGACTGTCGTTTTCCACAGATGTTCAAAGTCCGACAATTTCACACGTGAAGTGGTGATTGCTTCATCTTAGTTCAACACTTAATAGTAGGCTTTCGCGACCAATATTGTTCATAATAGTCTTTTTTTTGGGTTAGATAGCGTAAATATACATGTGTCGTTAAACCCGCCAACACCCGACACAGCCAATAGTAAGTTTCGGCACGTAAACAAAACATGTCCAATTCGCTGCTCGTTCACCACACCGGTGTGTTGAAGAGTAAACCCACAACATTTACAATTCAAGGACGACGATTCTCCAGTAATTTCAACCAGCCTCATCAGGCGACAGCCAGAGTTGTGGAGAAACCCTCCCGTTTCGGTATTAAATAGAGGGATACATGCGATGTCATCGCTTGTGCGAGGGGTGGGGAGATTAATGTATCATTAAATTACAATGGATATCTATTATTGGTTTGGTTCATCAACGTAAATAATGTATGCACATTATGTACGTACATAATGTACACGGCAGAATGCACGTACATAATGTATTGGTTTGGTTAATCAACATAAAGAATGTACGTACATAATGTACGTACATCCTGCCGTGTTTGAGTGCAAAAATCGCAATGCCTGTTCTTGTTTATCGCCATCAACGTATAGTGACCTGCATAGACGTGCAGTTAGACAGTGTTCTAGTATTACTTGATCTTGCCTACATTTGTTCACTGCACGTGCCAAGCAGAGGGAAGCATTTCTTCGCGTGTAAATCAGCCTGTGCTTTGTTTTTCTTGCGCAGGTTGATGTAACTATCGTTTTTTTTAGATGTCCACATATTCGACCTTTTAAAATTATCCACATTTCTTCACGCATTTTTTTGTTTACAGACATAAGGTAGCAGTATATTTGCGTGGACATTGGCATCTGATTCCGGTGCAGATCCTGTTACCCACATCGCCCTGCAGCCCGGTTACCCTTGAGTCGTAACAATGATGATGATGATGATCAAGTTAATTCGGCATTGGCTCCGTTCTCATCGTGTCTCAGAGGTGGATTTAATCCGCCAGTCGTGGGCGAGTGGCTCACAGAGCGAGCGGCTTGTGGAGGAATTCAACGGTGGTTCTATGAAATAGCTCACGCTCCTTCCACAGTATTGTGGAATTTCCAAAACCGGCTCAGGGCTGTGAACGGGAGATTAGCGCTGCCTCAGAGAGAATCAGTTTAGTATTTTGAGGTGACATGTAATTGGGCGTAAGGTGGTATCACACCCCCACAACTAGCTATAGGGACAGTTGTTGTTAGTAGCATTTTTTTTGTCTTTTCCATTATTGACAATGCTGGACTTCAGTGCTGTCACGAGCAATTGTGTTGGGTATTGCCATTGGATTTTAGGGATTGTATAACTTCGTTTATGGCCCGGTTTGGCTGTCTGCAATTGCCTGGTAAAAACTGAGCTGTAAAGTCTAGACTGTAGTAGAGTGTAGACTTTACAGCTTATCTATCACCGTGAAGTGAAATATTGCCTGCTTTTACGTGATATATTACTTAAGCACATTTATATCCATTATACATAATGTAGGGTTATGGTAAGTAGGGCATTGTACGACGTATGTAGGGCAAATTGGAGCGAGTATTGGCAAAGTGGCTTGAAGGTTACACTATGAACCCAGCTGCCTTGGTTCAACCCCAGTCCATGGCTAACATCAGTGGCTAATGATTCCTGAATTTGTCCTGGGTTCCCGAGTAATAATAATAATTATCCCCCAATAATTATCACCCGATAATAATTATCCTCGAATAGTGTGGCAGGGTATGGTGCGCACGCCCCCGAGGTCATTATTCCAGAGGCCATTCGCAAAAGGTTATATTGTCGTGATGATTTGTATAAAGCCCATGAATAATTCACGCTCGATTCTCACTTGCATGATTTGGAGCGTGAAAATGTATATCAATAGACGCATGCATAATTAGCGCATACTCATCATCGGGATATCTGTCTGGTATTTTAATCTCAGTTCCAAGGTTTTTCGACATACGTGTGGATAATCATGAATTGGGTTTTTACTTGTGCATCGTATTTCAACAAATTCGGAGTGTAAATTCGGCAAAAGATAACGTGTCCACCTTGCTTGCTAGGAGAGGAACGCTCATAAAATACCGCGGTGGTGTCGGACGTACTCGGACGAACTGACTTTCCCGCCCACACTGGGACGGCGGTGCGTTCGCGTGCGCGTCAAATCATTGAGACGCCTTTCACGAATAAGCCACGCTTTCTAAAGCTCTAGATTATTGCCTTCGAAGTGACACGCCCGATGACTTTGAAGTTGCCTCATTTATTGGGTGTCGAAAAGAGGGATGCATGGTTCGCTGTCAAACCCTGCCACCTGGCGGCTCAACGAGCCACATCAATGCACGGTGCACCACAAGCCAAAGCCCTCTGTCTGACCCCGGCGGTGACTGTGTGGCAACGTTGCAGGACCTGGCCATGTACTTGAACGAAGTGAAGAGGGACAATGAGACCCTCAAGCAGATCGTGGAGATTCAGCGAAGCTTCGACTCTTCCTTGAAGGTTGTTACCGCGACGACGACGACGACGACGATGATTTTGATGATGTTGATTGCGACATAACCAACGTACATGTAAACTAAACTCACATTTTTTTTTTATTTGACCAGGTAAAGCCCACTGAGCTATGTAGATATTTTTCAGAAGCGACCTGGCTATCACAAATGATAGCTCAACAAAGTGGGTTATAATGTGGATGTTTTAAGCAGCCAAATACTCCAAACGCTCTAAACGCGTGTTTATAAAGGCGGGGAAAAATCCACACGACCACGGAGAAAACATTCCAAATTTACATGCGTCAGGGTTGGGATCTAACCCACGACCTACTAGGCGAGGTAGTTAACATCCAACGACCGTGGCACCCTTAAAATACTAATGCTTGCAGAGACAGTGTTGTCACCTTGCTGGTGCTGCGTTTTATTTTTGCGTGCAGGGCGAGGTTCATTAATTAAATGCAGGTGAGAGCAGTCGTTTACATTTTATAGCTTGGATGGCCTCACGTGATGTTTCTTCAGATGTTGTGGATCAGGACTGAGACCACCAATTTGCTAAATGTGTAAATCTGGTTTAATCAGAGGTGGCTGCCTAGATTCAACCCACCATCTCACGGCAGTGCCCTCTCAATAGTTTTACCACAACCGTGACGAGCTACTTGAGGTTCCCCATCCACCTCCACATTTACCCCATGTGCAGCCACGTTGGCAGTCCACTGTGGGAGGAGGGCCTCTTCACGCTGTGCGGTTAATGGAGACTGTTTGACCATAACTTCGTCAGGCTGGTGCGGGTTGGTGAAGGCCCGGGGGGAGCATAGGCATGGGCACATGTAAGTACAGTTCAATAACTGTACCGTGTTTATTTAGTGACACCGGCCTCTGCTGCTCACCACAGATCCTCAGCTTTAACACGTATTATGGATGGTGGTCACCCATCCGAGCACTCTCCAGGCAAAAACTCTGCTTAGCTTTCAGGAGATGATGACATTCAGCATGTTCTAGGTAATACTGGACATAGGGCAGCCACCTCTACCCTAACATCCGCACCTACGATCAGCACGGTTGGCTACGTATGGTGCGAAAGAAGTTCACCATACACACGTCATTAATTTGGGGCATCTCTGTGTAGGTCACACTTACGTATGTGTTACACTTAATTGAAAGTGACTGATGATGTTTATAATAATGATGATAATGATTACGATGAAATCGGTTGTATCTTCGGTCTCTCGTTTGTGGTCTGGCGGTTTAAGGTGGATACTCTGTTGGATTACGGGAAGCCCAAGATGGATGGTGACCTCAAGGTGTTACAAGTGGGCAGGGCCAAACAGGAGAGGTGACTGTCGAGACCACTTTTACCTCGCCCGCAATTCGAATTCGCGATCCTGACATGCGCCATGATGTGTAAAGTTTTTTCATGTGCTTTCTTTGTCGCTCTTCCTCCGCACGTTGGATTAGCAAGGTTGGCTACGTTACGGTGCGAAATAAGTTCAACGCACATACACACGTTACTTGAATTGTGTTTGTTTCTTCGCGCGACACGTAAAATCCGCAGGTACGTCTTCTTGTTCGACAAGGCTGCCTTGATGTGCAAAAGGAAGGGCGATAACTTCGAGCTCAAACATTCCCTGGAGCTCGCCAGATACAAAATCACCAACGACCCGACCAGCAACAAAGATTCGCGAAAGGTACTCCGAGCTTGTAGAGGCCACGCGTGCCCCCTACTCTCCACAGCGCACACCGCACTCAGATATTAAAAACAACTTTTCCCCCGCCAACCTTTTTCGTAGCGTCACTGCGGCGGGGGATGGCGTCGGAGTCTCCCGCCCCCCGCCGGCACTCCCTTGTGCTGAGCTGATTGTGTGCCTGTTTTGTGTTTTGCGTATTTTGCCACCTAGAGACAGAGCAAAGTGGTGAGTAAAGCACTGTTGCGATCCCACTCCGTGCGCATGGGCAAGCGCTGGGCCTGGCCGTGACGGCGTGAATTTCCGTAGTTCTTTGCCCGTCGGTCGATCGCACCGCCGCTTGGCCTGGACGTGGCGTTTCGTCGGCATAGGGGCAGCGGCAAAAGCAAGCGAGCATAAAAACAACGCGCCGTAAATGCGATGCCCCTGCAGCATGATGCTTCTTCTGTTTGTTCTCGCGCTCCCCTACGCGAGGTCAAACGGCGGCCCCAAAGTCAGCTGCCTCAGCCGCCCGTTAAGCTCGTCGCTGAGGAATTCGCGATGAGGACTTCCTCAGAATGTCAGACGAAGGCACAAAGGGAGAGATAATGGTCGTGGTTCAAAGACCAAAATTAATTGACTTCCTCGTGCCCTTGATGAACTAAGGCTCCAATGTCTGACGGTTGTGAGTAAGGGTTCTGTGAACGTTTGCGTAAACTCACGGCGATTAAAATTGGTGCACTCATGCGTTCGCCTGTCTCCGGCACGTGCACCAATTTTGTTCTCTGCGATGGCTAAGTCGTTGCTTTTTTCGTGCGATGCTCAGTGCTGGTCACCCAGGGTCAGCGCTTGCCTTTGGTCCTTTGCTCTAAAGGAAGAGATCAACCAGAATATACACACAGCTCTTACGATGTAGATACATACCTCGGCCTCGTGACGTGGCTGTCCAATGGGAGTTTTGAAGTTTCAATTCGTAATAAAAAGACTTTAGATTGACTTTGCATTCAACGGTATAGAAGAGACATTATAATTATACTGTTTGGTTCTTTCGGTAAAGTCACGTAGATAGAAAAAAGAACTGATAAAAATAAAGTGAATAAAAAAAACCACGACGTTTCGATAACAACACAAGTGGTCGTCATGAAAGTCCTTTAATGGCATTTTCTTACAAATAAGGCCAGTTTCATCCAAGTTAAAGATCTGCTTCTTTGTATATCCACCATCTTCTATATAAAAAATAAAGCTCATCTCGAAACGTCGTGGTATTTTTTATTGACTTTTTTTTGTCTATCTACATGACTTTAGCAAAAGAACCAAAGCATATGAATTCCTGCAGTCACGGACGTTTTAAGTCAAAATTTAGACGTTATAATTGTTATAATAATATCGTAGTACACTTGTCATTTGTGCCATTCTCATAGCGCAAGGCTATCGTGAAGGTGCCATGTCTCAGAGGCGGGTATCGTCTGCCAGTACCAGACATGGTACTGGGACCGTGTGCCACTGGCACACGTTGTCTTTTATCCTGACAACGTCACAGGATCTTTAACTGTGAAGCAGAGACGGTGAACGTTCGTGGTTCATACACCCGCAGTATTAACCAGGACGACGCCGGGCTCGAACCGCGGCCACAGCGATGCCACTGGGCTGATATAAATGCCACTCTTGAGGGTAACTTCAAAACATTGCGTCCCCACTTGACGAAGCTTCAGGCTCATTGCGGGGCAGCACTGGGAGACACAGCCGAGGTATTGTACCCACAAACGTAAGCGCTGTTCGTTGTTTTGGTTGCCTCCTTTAAGCACTCTGTTTGAAACTCTCACTGCACATTTTCTTCTCCTGTCATCCATTCAACCTGTGACCCGTATTGGTGGAAAGTAATTTCCAAGGAGAAATGATTTTCTTCCATTTTGTTACGAATGGCAGATCTATGGGGAAGGGGGAGTCCAAACGTGCATCACCCCTCCCCTCCTCTGACATAGCACGGCCCAACCTGTTGAGGAATGGTTTGAACCTCAGGCCGTGCTGCTCTAAATTTGGAGTCTTCTATTTTACGTGGTGGAGTTGGAATCCCTTCCCCTGTGGATCTACCAATCCTGCCATGACTTTTCTGACGATCCTTCCCTTTAAAACCAGCCAGCTTAGAAACTGTTTGTTCCACTTCTTGCGGTACGCCAAAGTAAAGGTGTCAGCAGTCCTGAAACGGATGTGGAAATTCCACATTATTATGCCAAATGGCGTTTCTAACTTTAGCATAGCAACTTGTTGATTTATTACAATGTGGTACCGATTGTATCAACCCCAGAGGAATGATGATGATGGACTAAGTCGATCTCCAACCGGTATTTGAACTCACGGCCTTCTGATTGTGAGTTGAGGAATCCACCTACCATTGCACCACGTCCTCTTGCTACGAGAGGTGCCTAGGTGGCTCTGGGAGCAGAGTTCTGGGTTCAGGCAATGCTTGAGAATTCTGGGGTTTGATGCCGGATTTCACTGCCTGTCATCAAAAAAGAACAGATCCTCTAGTAGAGTGAGTTGTGCGCCTCAGCCTTGTCACCAAGGACTGCGCAGACAGACCAATGTCGTGATTCATCATAGATTTTAGTGTCAGATCGCTGTGTGAGTAAAATGTGTGCCGTAAACCCCCCTGCACCCGACATGTTCACTTAATAAAGCTGTCGCGTGATGAAAAAACGTGGCCAATTTATTACTGCTTCAACGGTACCACCAATGTGTGTTTTTGGACAGCAAGCCCGAACATTGAGCGATTTTGTACGACGTTTCCCTGGTAGTTACAGGCAGTTGCCTGATGGTGCCGGCTGCTGAAGCGGTAATAAATACACACGGTTGTTTCACGTGACAACTTTATTAATTGGCTGTGTTGGGTGGAGGAGGGTTTACGACGCACACCATTTAATTACGGGTCGCAATGTTGGTCACGAAAGCCCATGCGTTAAAAAGACCAGTAACATTGCATTTGTTTTCCCGCGTAAATTCCAGCTCTAAAAATAATAGCATCGCTTTGGCCGTCATGCGACAGGCACCCGTCTCATTGCGGGACAGCATGGAAGCATGCGCCGCCACAGTTTAAACCAGTGGTTCTTCACCGATGTTGCACCCCTTTGGGTATCAATCGTAACATTTTTTCTTAATAATGTTAATAAATACGTAGGGTTTGATGAAACAAAGTAAGTTGTACTTACGTGCCCCTGCTTAAGTTGTGTTTTGACGATTTACCTTCAAAAATAATATGGCCAGAAAGGGCATCTCGCATCTCCAGGTTAAGAACCACTGGTTTAAAATATAAAAATGCCACCGCTTTTAAGGGTGTTTCTGCAGAGGTCACGTGACACCTCACTTCGACTCAGGGGGCATACCGCTTGGCGAGATTTCCAAGTTGATTCTCGTGACGTGACTCTGACAGGACAATTGGGATGAACATGTGGGGGAATTAAAACACGGCAAAGGATTGAACTCTGTTCGTACCAATATCCCTTCTCTCATGTGTCCCCTGACTCTGTACTGCAGCGTCACGGCCGCCATCGCACGTCTTGAATCTTTGCCCGAATGTCCTCCTTGACCCTAGAACACGCATTCAACCTCGCCAGTAAGCTTTGCCTGCTGTGGTATAGTGCCCCTTCCTTGCCTGACAACCTGTTTGGAGACCTGTTGGCTTTTGTTCTAAGTTGACTGGCATGATTGTGCGTGGAGCATCCACACGTTAGGGGTCGCTGCTGTGGTGTAAATGTTTGCATCCTGCAGTTGCAACCCTGAGGTCTGCAGTTCCATCTCCCAGTGCGGCAATTGACCCAATGGGCGAGTTTCTTAGATTCTCCCTCCGCATCTGTCCCTCCAGCAGTATAAACGGGTGTGTTCGTCGATCGGCAGGTCGCACGTGGTGGAGTAAATTTTGTATATTGACATCTCTTCCAAGAGGTCTGGCCAGTGTGGTAGAGTGGGCCAATGACCTTCTAGAGGGGCTCTCTGGAGCGCCCTCCAGTGGACTCCCTTATGCCAGCTGGTGGTGCGGGCAAGACAATTGCAGGGAAAAGCGCCTTTAAGTTCACATTCACACACGTGGCGTGGATGTGAGCATGCGGTGCATCGGTCTGAACATGCTCCTGCGCCTTCCATTGCACTTGGCATATGTTTAAATATTTATTGGTAATTAAAGAAGATCATTAAATCGTATATAAATCTAAGGCTTCATTATCTCCTCATTACACTGCAGCGTAATTACCCCATTATGCAAATAATTTGGAGTGGGGCCCAAGTACCATCCAACTGATAGTGCGGCATCACGGTGGTTTCCATGGATACCTGCCCTGCCCGTTTACGAAGTCACCTGGAATGCACCCAATCTCATCAGATGTAAGAAACTCAGCAAGTTTGAGCCTGGGTACTGCTTGGGTGGGTAACCACCATGCACAACAAGGTGTTACAGGATTCGGGGCTACGTGGCGGGCAGAATAGGGCAGTGTAGAAAGAAAAATAGCACTCCCGTATTTCTACGCTCCAGCATTCACCAGACCATAATTAGCGGTGTGATTAAGTACGGTCAACCCTAACCCCCGTGACCCGTACGACGTGGGGAGGCCGTCATCCGGCAGTGGATTGACAAAGAGTTCTGGATGTTACACATGCACATGTACTGGCACTGAGGGAGCAAAGTGAAGAGGAGTAGAGTGAGATGGGAGGGGAAGAGGTAGGCGGGGAGGGTGTGAGTCCGTGGAGGGTCTTGAAGACATTGAGTGCATCGCTGTAGTTTTTCAAGGACTGTGTTTGGATCCAGTGAAGGGTTCGGAGTATTGGGGTGACGTGGTCATGTTTGCATGCGCGGGTTATAATTATGCCGGATGTCCTCTTATGTCACTTAGGGGCGGAGAGCGGGTGTGATATTGGTAAATCTGAGGATACTTATTGAGGACTAGAATCTACATTCAGAGGGTGCTAAATGCCTCGGCAGCTCAAAGCGGCTAAATTGCACATTTCATCTGGGCCATCCCTGCGGCCTTTTGCAGTTCAGACAAATTGGATCACAGTGATAGCTCCGGCTTGCAATTGGGCATTCTTCTGCCAGCGGGGGGCAATGCTGCTCCGCGGTTGTTCCCAGTTAACTAATTTGTGGGCCATTCATGACTTTTATGTGCACTTTGGACCACAATGCCAGCACACGTGACTTTCCCTTTCAATCAAGTATCGCCGTGAAGCAGTCGGTGTAACATCAACCAGGCTGGCCACTAAGGCGTGAACCCGCAAAACCCTGCAGCGAGTGGTAAACGTGCTGCCGCTGGGCCGCTCGGCCCCTCGGCCATGTGACCGCCTGGGTTAAAGGTGAACGTGAATGGAGGCGTAGTGAAAGGGTGTGGGGAGCAGTAGTGTAGCGGTTAGCGTGCTGCACTACAAACCCGGCGGCATGGGTTCAATTCCTGCTAACAGCCAACACCAGTGATGATTATCTGAAGTGGTCCTGGGCATCCCCTAGGTCGACTAAGCCTCAAATGAGTACCTGGTGTGATGTGTAAACATTGTCACTCGGGAGACAAAGGTGGCCATGAGTGGTATTCGCCACCCACCCCCTCGTGTGCCGTGCCGGCCTTCATAGGTGCTCGCTAACAGCACTTGCCCCAACAGTCTATTAAGACTATACGGGGGATCTTTGTTTCATCTTTTAGTGAGAGAGTGTAGTTGCAGGAAGGCAGTTGACCATAGGGTCAAGGTGGCAAAACACGAGGTGGAAAGCAATGACATCCGAGGAGTGCACACAAAGCATGCAATCACACTACAGTGAGACAGAAAACGGAACACACGGATCAGGGCAACAAACGGAGAGACTTCGTTGAGACTTTATAGGCGCGCAACGGGCTGTGGGCAGGAGACATCACTCGAAGGGATGAAGGCCGATGGACGAGGATGATGACGGAATGGGAGCCAAAGAATGGAACACCCTCACGCCCCACATGCCTTGTTTACCAGAGGAAAAAAAATCACTGAATTATTTTAAAAAAAATGGGAAGTGTCTAGATCCGACCGCTGACACGGGCTATCTGAACCAATCACACGAGCTGTCAGAAAAAAAGCAATGTGGAGTTACCGTAACGATGCGGATTTGTATCCCTTTGCTGAACAGCTCATGTAGTGTGTTCCAAATATAAGCGCGCGTGCACGCTAGTGACACAATCTGGCGGTTGGCGGATGTCATATCCTATTCCCGGAACTGTAGATGAATTCTAAAGTGATTTGGGTTGGAGCTAAACACAACCAAAAGGCACATTAGACGTAGAGTACATTGGGGTTCTTAAAATATCAATAATTGAATTAACTTTGCCCTTGCCAATAACATTTGATGCTTGGTTTTATGTTACGCAAGTTGGCCATTACTCGCACGGTTATAGACGTATAATCTTGGCTATTTCTTTTCAGAGATGGTGAATCCTTAGTGAATCTTTATGTCTTTAGTTATTCAATCATTTATTTTTCCCCCCCTCTTTTAATTTCACGTCAATTAAGTCGATCAATTATGGGACCTCCTTTGCCAGTACCAAAATATGAGAATAGTTTTTACCCTTTTTTCTGGCAACAAACAGGTGTTCAGATGTTAAAACACCAAACTGAAACCTTTTACAAGGAATCATGTCTGCAGTAACCACAATACTTATGGTTACAATGCAAACACAACACATACTTTGATAATATATGCATTGTCTTTGAAACTGATTGGGCCACACCAGAGACAGTCTTAGACCAGCGGACGGTCCTCCAGGTGGTCTGTGATGGTCCTCCAGGTGATCCACGGTGGCTGTGGTGCAAATGCAGCTTAATGATATTTCATTTAAATTTTATTTAGGTAAGGTACCCTGATTAAACTTCCATAACCCTGAGATATAAATACTCCCCCCCTCCTACAAAAGAAAAACCTAAGAGTTGCTATACTTAAAAAAAGTTTTTATGTTCCGATAATATTAATAATTTTGTATAACTGGTATTTAGAGGGACAAGTGAATGCGTGGGGGGCTGGGTGATCCGCAGGAAATCTCACGCGTGGGCAAAGATGCACCAGCGAACGGACCGATTGCCAGTGAAAAACAGCAGCAGTTTTGCCATTTCTTTCACAAAATTCATGCTTGCCCAATTGCATGTCCTACCAACAGACAAATGAATCTGCAAGTGTTGTTGTTTAATCAGGAACCCCCCCACCCTCCCCAATGTCGCCGCCCCCCACCATGGCGTGATTGTCTGATTGCGCCGTTCTCTGTGTTTTCGTGCGCAAGTGGTCGCACAGCTTCTACCTCACCCCGCTCATGGCCGGCGAAGGATACCAGTTCTTCTGCAAAACCGAGGAACTCAAGAGGAAGTGGACCAAGAACTTTGAGATGGCACTGTGAGTGAACTTTTGGCTCTGTCTTGTTCTCGCAACTTAAACTCACTCGACTTTTAGCTCCCCATCTATTCACCTTAGCAACACACCGGTCTGAAGCGCACGGAGCGATGACCTGCAGGCCACGTTACGCGAGTGACTTTGTGCAGGCCTTGTTGCGTGGGGGTTGTCGTGATGGCAGCTGATTGGCTGGTGCAGTTGGAGTGTTGATGTCATCCCGAGGCAACGGCTACCTATGGGGAGCGAATGTTGCGACCTCACGAGGACAGCTCGCATTTACTTCGACTTGTCATCCGTAACCTCTTCTGGCATTTACGATCGTACTCCACGAGGTTGGATTTATGATAAATCTTGAGAGCATCTTGTGTTAGCAGACCCTGGGCGCTGCCCATGGGAGGTGAGTGCCACCCCCATTTTTTATCCGAGCAGGCGGTGGGGAGTTGGGGAGGGGGGGGCAAGATTTGTCCGCAACGATTTCTGCGGTCGACAATTTGTGCGTTTTGTAATCATGTTTTTTTGTCCGTTCGTAACGGCAGGTCGAACCTGCGTCCTGGCGGCTACCAGCACGAGTTCCAAATGCAAACGTTCGAGAGGGCAACCGAATGCCACGTGTGCCACATGCTGCTGAAGTGCGTGGGCCGTCGTGCGAGGCGATCATGGCGTCGCGGAACCTCCGTGGTCTGCAGGAACCACGGCGAAGCTTAAATGGGGGTCGGGGGGGGGGATACAGCCATGGAGTGTAATGGTCAGCGCACTGGCCTTGCAATCCCAGAGCTCGCCGGTTGGCCACGGCAGCTGAAACGATTGTGAAAGTTTATCATTGAACGCCTCCGCCTCTGTCCACCCGGCAGTATAAATGGTTACGCCGCATGTAGTTGGTCGGTGCGTCGGTCGCTTGTGGTGGTGTAAAGTGCGGGCGCTCCCACCTATTCCAACGTGTCTGGCCAACTTTGGAATTGTGGCTAAAGATACCCTCGAGAGAGAGTCTCCAGAGCTCCCTCGAGCAGGGGCCCTTCTGCCGGCAGTGGTGCACGCAAGGAATTGCAGGGCTGCACCTTTAAATGTTCCCTTTACTGTTTTGATTTGAAGTTTTCGTGACTGCAGGAATCCATACTCTTTGGTTCTTTCGGTAAAGTCACGTAAGTATAAAATAAAATACAATTACCGAAATACCCACGTGACTTTACCGAAATATCTACGTGACTTTACCGAAAGAACCAAAGATTACGTTCCCTTTACTACAAGGCTTGAACCGCACTCACATTCACACGTGTTGCGCGACTCTCAGGTGCAGCACCACCATTCTAAATGAAAAAAGGTCATATCTTGTAGATAAGCAGCTGGTAGGTGTTCCGATGAGTCGCCCACCTCCTCCCACCCCCGCAAAGTATGTATGTTGAGCTTCTTTCCCACCGTACGAAGCCGACCGTGCTTATCGTAGGTGCAGTTAAATTGTCACAATTCGGTATCGTCATTCGATTGAACAATTTATAGTTTTACCACCTGGCCTATGACCAACTCACCTGGAGTGTGTCCAATCTTGTATTGGTGACCGCCATGCATAGAATCGGTGTTATCGACTGCTCTTGTCAGCAGAGAGCAGTGTAGCTTGAATCCATTGTTGTACTGCTCCAACGTCTTGTGTTCCTCACATTCACCAACCAGCACTGACCAGCGTGGTGATGTATGGCCAAATGACTCCCTACGCTGCGTGGAGAGGCCCTCATCCGGCAGTGGGTTGACAAAATGATGTTCACGTGCACGAAACAGCCAGATAATTTAGACGACAAAGCGCCGTGAGTTACCTCCTTGATAATGCCATTTCCGTGTTTCTCCTGCACAGGGGACTGTTTTACCAAGGCTACCAGTGTCAGAAGTGTGGCGCGGAGGCACACAAGGAATGCCTCGACAAGATCCTGCAGTGTCAGAGGCCCCTGCCTCCCAGTCCCGGACAGATCCCTTCAGGTACACCTCGTCCACGAGCTCATTTGTACGGTGGCCCTCGTGTTGTGTGGCCTGTCTGTCCATCTATCTCGTGTCACCGTTATAACTGAGCGTTGGGTTGGCTTGGTGGCGCAGTCGTAGTAACACTTGGGGTGCCACGTTGGCGAGATGGCAACTACCTCACCTGGTATACAGGAGGTCTTGGGTTCGATCCGGGCTGATGCCTGCTGTATTTTTAAATCCTTTATATTAAGTTCGCTTGCTTGCTTGCGTGCTTGCTTGCTTACGACCGTGCAAATCTTTCGGTCGTTTTTTAACCCACTTCCCGTGATCCAATCGAGCTGACATTTTTGCACACAGACTCGTTGTGCGAGACAATTAATGTTCGTGAAAAAAAAATTCAAAAATTTTACACTTTTTAGGCAACAAAAATTTATTTTACATTTATTCAAATAGAACTCATTCATGGCTTTGGCTGAACGTCACAGTGTAGGAGCCCAGAGCGTAACCCCTCCACAGGCCGTGGCGGAGTAGCGCAGTTGGTAGCGCCCTCGCTTCCCATGCCAAAGGTCGCGGGATCGATCCCCGCGTCCTCCACAGGCGAATATATTTTTAAATCCTTTATATTAAGTTCGCTTGCTTGCTTAGGACCGTGCAAATCTTTCGCTCGTTTTTTAACCCACTTCCCGTGATCCAATCGAGCAAAAACAGAAATGAATAATAACATAAAACCGATGTCACGCATATAAAGGATTTATAGTGAAAAACTTTGTTTTTACAGGTTAATTTTTTGGAGTTTGCGTGTTATCCCCGTGGTCACCTGGATTTTTCTCCGGGTTCTCCGGTTTTTTCCTCCACACTTAGGATCAATATACGTTCAGAGGATTTGGTTGCTATACATTTCCAAATGATAAGCCACTTCGTTGAGCAATCGTTTGTGGCCAGGTTACTTCTGAAAAAGAGCCATATAGCTCTGCGGGCCTTATCTGGTAAAATTAAATAATAATCTCGTGCCTCGCAGCATATTTTCAATTCTGTGTGTATGTATGTTGAACTTTTTTCGCACTTCACGTAGCCAACCGTGCTGGTCGGAGGTGCGCATTCTCACTTGCGCTGTGCTGTGGTCCTCTTCCCTTGCCCACCTGCGTACGCAACTCCGGATCGCGTACGCACTCCACGGCCATTGTTCTCGGCCGTGGCCCGCCGCAGGGCTGCCTCACGTGCAGGCCGCACAGGCCTACCAGGGCGCGCCGCTGCCGCCCCTCAAGCTGCAGCCCACGCTGATGCTGTCCTGCGGTGAGATGGTGGAGCTCACGCGAGCAGAGCCCGAGTCCGCCTGGTGGGAGGTGAGGGCACTTGAGTGCGTGCGGTGCGTGGGGTGGGCGTGTGTGTGTTGGGGAGCGGTGGTGTAGCGGTTAGCGCGCTGCACTGCGAACCCGGCGACCCACGTTCGATTCCCGCTCACGGCCACCACCGGTGACAGAACTGGTCCTGGGCCTCCCCTAGGTTGACACAGCCTCAAATGAGTGCCTGGTGCGATTTGAAAGAACATTGGCACTGGGGAGATAAAGGCGTCTGGGCATGGTGCTGGCCACCCATCCCCTCGTGTGGGGTGCCGACTAACATAGGTGCTCGCTAACCGCACTTGCCCCAACAATCTGTTAAAGGCTACATGGGAGATCTTTGTCATTGGGGGCAGCTCGTGCTTGTGTGGCCAGAAATCCACCTCTGGTCACATCGGCAGCGCTCCTCCACGCGGTCATGGCTAACATCAGGTGTGCTTGGCCTCCCCCCAGGCTAACTCAGCCCTAAATAAGTACCTAGGGTGGTGCATAAACATCACCACGAGGGAGACAAAGGCGGTCAGGCATAGCGTTGGCCACAGCATCCTCTCGTATGCCGTGCCAGCCGTCATAGATGCTCTCCAACGAAAGCCCGCGTAGGATATACGTCAGGGATCTTTGGCTGGCTGTCTTTGTGTGTGTGTGTGTGTGTGCGTGCACACGAGTGTTAGTGTGTTCGTGTGTGTGTGTGTGTGCACATTAGTGGTGGCATAGTGGTTAGCGCACTGCACTACGAGCCCAGTGACATGACTGGCAAAGCCGGATTACGTTTGATGGGGTCCCGGAGCTCTTATATTTACTGGGGACCACTGTTTCGATATTCAGTTCCTTCACTCAACGATGCCTCACGATGTCAGACGCTCCGCTGTGATTTGCCTCGGAAATGCACACAGAGCTGCTCTGCGTGGTGTTAAAGTTTTTATTTCAGCGCCAGATGCTCGTGCTGTCAGACTCGGTATGCATATGGGGGAGATGCTGAGCTCAAGGCACCCTGGTATAATCCTGCAGGCGTGCAGGATAACAGGACTCAAGATGAGAGCTATCCCGGGCATGAGGGAAACCAAAGCTTAGCACTGCCATGGGATGTCCATGAAATCGAGCCTAACAGCTCATTTGCTCCTTCCTGCTGCTGAAATGTATGTTGAACTTCTTGCATAACGTGCGTAGCCAACCGTGCTATTCGGAGGTGCGAAATGAATACAATCGAAATCTCAAATCTTTTACCCTTTTTGTTTATATCATTTAATCCCACTTCAATTCCAATTTTGCAGTCAGTGTGATGTCACGAGGTATCCATTCTGAGCCTTCGCAGAGCTGCAACCCCCCCCACCGCCCTCCCCCGTGGTATAGAACGGCCCACAGAAGCGGACATCACAAAACTACTTCTGCGATGTCCTGAAGTGATTGCTGGTCCACACAGTACGGGGGCAGCACTTTCCCGTCTTTCCCTACGGAGAGTAATGTTTGTCGCTTGCAGTCAAACCAATATTTTTTTTTTCAGAGCTGGAATTTAGCCAAATTAAGTGCCGAACTAAATTTCATGCGATGGGTCTTTTTTTCACAGCCATTGGTGATATCAGACTGCCTCTGTTGGCCTTGATAATACGGTTTTAACCGCAGGCACCTGCCTGGATTCGAAGGCAGCATCTCAGTGATGCCAACTCAGCGCTCAAACCTCTGTCCCACCCAGTCAGAGTCAGTGCTGTGTTTAAAAGCTGGCCAAATAAACAGCGATGGTAAACTTGGAAGTGGACAGCCTTTCAACAACAAAAACACTCAACACATTTGTCAATAACACCTACCCCAACCCCCCCCCCAAAAGGAAAACTAGTATAGGTCACGTTCACAGGCAATTGCCCTTCTTTATAGAACGTAAATGGAGAGGCCAGAGACATGAGACCAGAAACGCCACCTATTATACACTTTTGCTTTTAAGGCCATAGAGTTATTGAAGAATGTGTTTAAATTTTTGTTATTATTTATGCTTGTGCACCACTATCACCGATTAACGCCTTTCACTTCTGTACGTTTATCGTGTACGTGTGTCGGAAGGTTGCAAGTTCAAATCTTGATTGGCGATGCACTTAGTCGTTTCAAGGTCGATTAAAGTGGGTTTCACTTTGACATACGGCCACATTGACATGAACGTGAAGAGCCTCATCAAACCTCGGAGGCTAAGCAGGCATGAGCCTGGTTCGTACTTGTACGGGAGACTGCCTCGGAATACCCCAGGTGTTTTAGGTTCAGGCCGCAAGGTGGCTAAGAGATAGGGGTTGAGCAATGCCTTATCCTAATCTGTCTGAGCAGAACTTTTAAAGCGCGATAGCCCCTCGTGCGTCTGGGTTTTCTCCAGGTACTCCGGTTTCCTCTCTGCACGCGAGAACGGTTCTGGAAGGCTTCGATTTTTATTTGCTTAGTTTTTTTTTCGTAGCAGGGGGAAGAGGGGTAGAATAATACAGGCCAGAGGCGACATGATGGCAGGAGAGGAAATGTACGTGATGCCTGATTACTGTCAGCCTCCCAGCTGTCTATCGCCCCCCCCCCAACTACGACCAGCCCTATCCAAACCCCTCCTTATCAATCCCTCTTGTGTTACTGCATCAAAACCACAGCATTTACAGTAACCCACATTCTATTTTAAATGATTATCATGCTATGTGCAATTTTTTAAAATAATTGCTGTAAAGAGCCTTTACCAGGCGTCTTCATATAAAGCGCCTTTACCATGGCCTTTACCAAGGCGCTTTATATGAATCTCATTAAGATAAGATGAGGAAGCCACTGGCTAACAAGCAAACGCATGGATTATGTAATGCCTCCTTTGTATTGATCCTCTGTGGTGTGCTGGGCCCCGCTGTGTGCTGTGCAGGGGCGGTCACTCACGACCCATCAAGTCGGCTTCTTCCCCCGGGACTTTGTGAAGCCGGTGGTGAGTTCAGAACCAGAAACTTTGTTTAAGACTGGAGGAATCCGATGAGCTGTGAAGCTCTTTTTCACACGTGTCCAGCAGTTTCACGGATTGCCCAAGGTTGCTCACGGCTTCCATTCAACGCGCAGTGTTTGTATATATATATATTTTTAATTAAAGAATAAAGAATGATTAATGTTAATTGTGTAAATGTTACTTCAATCATCAATTCTTTAAATAGATTTAATTATAACTTGTTATTACTGATTAATCATTATTAATTAAAATAAATGATCGATTAGTATGCATATTAATGACAATTATGCATACGATTATCATACAGAATAGTTATTCCGACTTATTAATTCAAGATAACGTAAATGTAAGCAATTAATTAATATATTATCGCATTAATAAGGAGTTATTATTGGCTTCCACGTTGTCCAGCGGTATGTATTATCATTCGTGATAATAGCAATGATTTTAGCTTTCAACATTTACTGATTTTCACTTTATCAATTATCGGCAATTATGTCAGGTCTCAGAATTCAGATCTCACCGCAGGATACAGTTCTAAAAATTGAGAAATATGATGCATAAGTTCGGAAAGAAGCATTCAACACCCTCTTTTGATCTAAACAACTTTAGTATCAACTTACATTGACATCCAAAAATGCTTACCGGAGTAGAACTGCAGTACACATGCAAATATACGTACTCATCATTTCGTACTACATGGTTAGAAAAGCATCAATGATCAAATCTCAAGATCATATGATAAAAAAAAATCAACAAGGTTGACATCTCATGGCAACGCGACAATACACAATTCGTTTGTTATGATGTGTGATGCGTGTAAGCTGAGATTCTTCAATTCTCCCAGGCAAAGCTTGGCCTGCAACCTGTACAAGGTACAGTTCAAATGGTGAGTGAGAGTAAAGGTCATGTCCCATCTTCTGTCTTCTCTCTCCCCGAACAATACTTTCAGTCCCACAAGGATGTGCTGAATGTTAGGCTCGATCCACAGCCGGAGTGCGCTGCGGCCCATTTAGCCGTCAGCTGCTCTGCCACACGTTAGCGGGTTATCTGCGCGTCGGCTAGATCCACAGCTGGAGCACACTGCGACTTTTGGAGTGGCTTGGTTTGCGAGCACCCGTTGTTGCTCACGCCCGGAGGTCAGCGGCGTGCAGGCAGCCGCAGTTCTTGGCGGAGACTGCACGTGACCAAGTCTGACACACCTCCAGCCTCTTCACGCCTCTTGCAGTGTCAAGTCAGGCTGACGAGACAACAATATAGCTTCCCCCCTATCGCTTGGACAATATCTCCTTGCACACTCAAAATTGGCGTGTAACTCAAGTCTCCACTTAGGGAAGTTGCATTTATGCCGCAACAAACGTTGGTCAACAATTCTCTGAGACATCTTAGCTTGGTACGGTATTATATAGAAGATTCCTTGGCAAAGCAAAAGTATGGTACTCAGAATCCCTGCATGAAGGAGAGCAGTATAAGGTCACCCGAGACTCTTTATCAACACGACCACGTGATGTATCATCACGCGAAAACTTTGCGAAGTCCTTGACTCTGCAAGGGACTCAAAATGTGAAGGAAAAATATTAAACAAAAAACTTGGCTACTTTCAGAGACACTCGGGGTCTGCCTCGGCAAGAACTCAACCCTTTAGCTTCCCGGAGCCTTTGCCTATGCAACGCTCAAACGTATTTAGCTAGTTGCGAGGGCTACCCCGGAGCTTGATTTGTAAGATTCTGTACGTTGCTTATATAGGAATTTCTACCTCGTTTAATGAATTACCTAAGTCGCATCAAAGCCCAAAGCTCCTTCTACTACTTGACACCCCTCGAGCATCTAGCGGTTGAGCCTTTGTGTTCAACCCTGCTCATGGCTCTGCAGACATCCCGGTGGTGCCTGATGTCATGAACTCTGCCCTCCTACTTCCTCCCTTTCTCGCTGAGTGTTCTGGCCTGTGGTTGTGCCCTCTGCTGTTGAGGCTGGTTTGCCGAGTTCCTCTGGAGACGGCTGAGTATTTATACTCAGAAACAGATGCTGGGCCACTAATCCCATCTAAATAAGGGTGCTATTCTTTTTGTTCTGCGGCCTACCGTTGATCTGTCTCCTGGTCCCCCTCCACTGCATGGGTTGGGTTAATTCCTGGGAAGCAAAATCAACGATGGTGATTCTTACCATGCCCACATTATCAAAGCCTGCTTGTTTTTTCATTTTCTTACGGTAATGCTTATTGGGTGTTTCCCTTCTGGGTTTTCAACTCTCGGAACGCAATTAATTCACGTATTTATGTCGACAAGGAACTGTGACATAAAAAATGGACATCACATTTAAAATAACAATTTGGAAAAGGCAAGTATCCAACAGCAACAGTCCAGTCATGCGATGCCTCATTTGGTGGCTTAATGAAGTCAAGAGCTCATTCACCATTGAGTCAGACAAGTAAATGCAAGCATGACGAGTACTGTTTTGTGTTTGTGTTGCAGGTGAACCGACCGACGGAACCTTCGAAAAGCGAGTTTCATTACTTTGCCTGGTATGTGCTTGCATCGCTTAAAAATAATCATAACGATACCACTACCGCTGCCGTTGCCACGAGGTCACACATTCGTCCCAGGTGCCGTCGGCGTAGTCTGGAACTCCCCCCCCCCCCAGCCCAGTATAAAGCACCGGTCACGGTACGGGGGGGGGAGAGTGGGAGGTGAGGGGGGGGACAGGAACCCCGAGGGGCTTAATGAACGGGGGGGGGGGGGGGGGTGCGACATTCGCGCCGTCCGCCCCACCCAGGTGGGGGGCCCGCAAGCGAGAACGCGAAAAGGCTTCGATGGAGAGGGAAGGAGTAGAGGGGCGGGCAAGTGAAGTTTAACTAACACAATGGGGGGGGGGGGGGGCGGGGTAGACTCCCCCTGCCCCATCATGGGACCTCTCTGGCCAGGATCAAAGTATAGGAATATGTTTTATCCTTTCTGGCGATAAAACAGTTGTGTTAAGATGTTAAAACGCCAAACTGAAAGCTTTTGTGGTGAACATGCAAACAAAAATCATTCTCTGGTCGTTTGTCCCAATATTCTGTTATGTCTGTACGTTGAACTTCTTTTGCACCGTACATAGCCAACCACGCTAATCGGAGGTGCGGGGAAGGACAACAAACCAAATACAAAAATAAGTTCCAAAGAAATTAGTTTATCACTCTAGATGATTTAAAAGTGCACAGCTCCAGTGGATTCCTAATATCGGAAGGAAGAGCGTTCCAGACGGCCACAGAAGCGCATCTGAAAGCGCCGCGCGATGCGGTGCCCGTCTTTGTTCGATGACCATCCAAAAGACCGCTGCTGCTGCTGCGAGGATGACCACCGGAGTTTGCGTGTTGATGGTTTGTGTTCCTTGACGAGATCAGCAAGGTTCTGTGGTTCATTTGCGCCGAGCGCTTCGTGTGTAGCATGACCGCGATGCGCTTCTCACGCCCCCAGGTTTGTGGGCACCATGGACCGCGAGCAGGCCAACCAGCAGCTGAGGAAGCGGAGCAACGGCACCTACCTGATCCGCGAGCGGCCCGACGGGCCCGGCGAGTTCGCCATCAGCATACGGTGCGTCGCGCACAAGCCGTGGAAAAGAGCCCACCCCCCCCCCCCCCCCACAACACTCCCGCACGCGGCCACGTTGACCGGCGCCGTTTGAACGGGCGTCCCTCGTCGTGCGCGTTCCGCAGCAAAATGCGTTTTGCGATGCCGACGGATAAACACTTTTGGGGGGGGGACCCAATGTGGGCGGCTCCAAGACCCATCGCGGTCAATTTTGTTTTGATCAAAGGCGCCTTCATCGTGTTGCAATCGAGACAAAATGTAGTGGCTTAATGCGTGATTATATTTCACTTCGGTTTTGTCATGGTCATGGGTTGAGTGACGTGGAGATGCGCCGCCACTATCCCGCGTGTTCGCGGTTTTGCTGTGCGGCTCTCGGACGCGTTTTCGGATTTGTTGCGCTGCGCCATTCGGCACGACGTCCCGACATTTTGCTCCACTTACCGGGAGCTTCTTCAGGAACTGAATTCACGCTCCGATCTGTACGAGTTCTGAATGCAAATACCATCTCATGACATGCCACAGGAAGCTCGATTGAAATAAGGTTTTGAAGAAGCTTCCATGCAGAACTTTGGGTGTTTAATTTGTTGCCCTTCTCCCGTACCTCCGATGAGCATGATTGGCACTGTGCGAAAAAGAAGCTCAGCAAACATAGATACCTAATTTAACGGGGAATGATGGTCAGAAAGTGACGGCAGGATTGGTAGATCCAACGGGAAGGGGTTCCAACCGCTCCAAATGAGGTGGAACGCTCCAAACGTGGGTCACACTTGCCTACGTCTTCAAGAGCATTTCCTAACAGGTTGAGCTATGCCACATTTCACAGGAATTACCTTCCACCAATAGGGCTACAAGTTGGATGGATGACAAGGGGAGGAAAGGGAGCTTGGAGATGCGTTGTTGTTTACCCGAAAGTAACACTTGCTTTCGTTTCTAAAACAGCTTTAACAACGAAGTGAAGCACATCAAAATCATCATTAAGGACGGGTGGCACCACATCACTGAGCACAGGAGATTCCGGGGCCTCGTGGTGAGTAGCACTCATTATGGAGCAGGTAAAACCGAGTGTTGCATGCCAACTTACAGCCGTTTAATTCGGCGATATGTGCACTCGTAATCCCCGCCGGGTTCTCAGCTATAACATCAGAATATTTTATGTTCCAAATCAGAATATTTATTTACGCTGGAGGAATCCTATGATCTATAAAGCTCTCTTTTACATGCCAGCGGTGGGACAACGTTGACATGTGGCTCCGAACGCTGGACCAATGTTGGCCCCGCATTCCAAGCATGCCGGGTTATTGATTTGAAACGTCAGTGTAATGATTTGTTCATCAATGCTGTATTTCCATATTATTATTGTTACAACATGTACGGTCCGTTTTTGTCAATCAACTGCTGGGTGACACTGGAGCTGATAGACAGAGGGCAAAGCCCACTAGCGGTGGTAACTCGTGCCCAATAAACATGCAATGAAGCATTGGCACTGGCAATGGCGACATTTAATCTGGCCGGTGTGAATGAGTAGGCGAATCACCACTCCCATGATCTACGCCAGGGGTCGGCAGCCGGCAGCTCCGGAGCCGCATGCGGCTGGCTCAGGACTGGCTACGTGACGTTAATTATTGAGTTTAAATTAGTTTTTACCGAATTCGGGAAAAAAAATGGCACTTATTTTTTTTTGCTTGCCGACCCCTGGAGCTTAAAGATCCCTCTCTGCCTGCAGTGGCAATAGAAGGCTGGCTGGCTCCTCACCGCCACCTGCCGGAGTGCGCTTGTAAGTGCGCGCCTGTAGTCCGAGTTAAGCGAAACACACGATAAGTAAGCAATTCAAATCGTAAAAAATATCACGTGGGGTGGACTACGGCTTGAGCTGCAGTGGTTCACGCACTGTGCCGTGAAGACAGCCACTTGAGTTTGGTTCCTGGCACACAGTGGCGATTGATGTCTAAACCGGTCCTGAGCCTCCAATAGGTAAACTCAGCCTCGAATGAGTTCCTCGCGTAGTGGAAAAAAAAAAACACCGGCGCACCGAGGCTCAAAATGCAGTCGGTCAAAAGCTACGCGTGGCGGTGGGCGGTCGGCCTTCGTGTGTGGCGCAGGAGCTGATCGAGTACTACCAGTCGCACTCGCTGAAGGAGGGCTTCCGCGCCCTCGACACGACGCTGCAGCACCCCTTCAACGAGCGGGAGCCGTCGCGCGCCGTGACTCGCGGGAACTCCGCCAACAGCGGTGAGCCGGCGGGCGAGCGAGCGAGCGAGCCACCGCCATCGCCCCGGGAGCCACCGTCTCGTCCAAGTTGCGCCCGCCTGTTGTCCGGCACGATGTCCCGACGTTTCGCCCCCGACGTGCCGGGAGCTTCTTCGGGGAAGTGAACCTGGCAGCCAGTTTTCAGCGGCAGTAGCCAGGAGTATCAGAATGATAGTCTGCATTTATACTGGAGGAATCCGATGAGCTGTAAAGCTCTTCACCGATGACCAGTAGGGGCACGGGGTCAGAACGTTACAACACAAAACAATACAAAAACACGATGAGAATGAAAGTACAGAAAATGTTAACACAGATAAACTGATTTTTTTTTATCTTACCAGTAAAACCCACTGAGCTATTAACTTATTTTTCAGAAGCGACCTGGCCACAAATGATAGCTCAACAAAGTGGCTTATCACGTGGAAATTTATAGCAGCAAAATAATCAAAAACATCTCTTTCGATGATATAGATAATTATCAAGATAGAAAGTGAGTTGCCTCGTTCATTTCCTGAAGAAGCTCCCAAACACACGGAGTGGATCGTCTGACGGCGTGCCGGACGACGCGCGGCACAACCCGGAGGCACACCGCAGAGCTACACGGCACAACCGCGAACAATCGCAGTCGCTAATGCCTGCTGTATTAACGTGATGCTCCATAGGGGTGGAATGGTAGCGTAGTGGTCCACTTAGCGCTTTAAAACCTGCCTTTGATTCCTGGCCACGGCGGACGTCAGTGGCGAGTGATTTCTGAGCTGGTCCTGGACATGATCATCATCAATTTCACCACCCAGCACTGTCAAGCGTGGTGAGTTATGGCCAAGACAACTCCCCACGACTGACACTGCGTGGCGAGGCCTTTATCCAGTGGATTGGCGAAGGGGGCAAGAAATACATTCAAAGTCCATAATGGTGCTTAAACCTCTATAAAAGATTTTTTTTGTTCCAAACGGGGAACCCCATTGGTAGCAAGGAGCACTCTTATCAGTAACATTTGGCAGACAAGTGGTGATATTTACATACCACGCCAGGTACTCGTTTTAGGCTGAATCGACCTATGGGAGGCCCAGGACCAGTTCATATAGTCGTCGCTGGTGTTGGCCGTGAGTGGGAATCGAACTCTGGTCGCCGGGTTCGTAGCGCAGCGCGCTAACCGATGCACAACCGCTACCAAAATAACACATGCACGCACACACACACACGGATTGCACGCATTCACAGACACAGCTTTTTCACGATTTCTAAGCAGTGACTGCGTGCGTAGTCGAGTGGCCAGTGACACCTGCGTCTTTCTCTCTCCGTGTGTCCCTGATCCCGTAAGCCGGCCACGTCAGTGCTAGCTTCTCCCTGCTCAACTCCCAGAATTTCAGTTTTGTCCCTCCGTCGGCCGCGCCGTTCTGGTCAGGTACAGATAAACCCCAGAGGGTGCAGCTACGGCTGTTCACAGCAAAACCTCACCCCCCCTCCACCCCACACCCCATACCTCCAGTGTCCTCGTTTCATCCTGGGCATGAAGTCAATGCCATGCTCTTACATCTGCATGCGCCATACGGACGTGCAGCATGACTTGCCGCCTCCTGTGCATTTGTGCGTGCGTGCGTGCATCAAGGCCCATTGTTCGCTGCAGACCCCTGGGTCTGTCATCTCAGAATTCAATATGCCATCGAAATGAATAATATACGCTCAGGCCATTGTTGCCATTGCTATCGCGTGAGTATGTTGTTGCGACTGCATGTTGCGCATCGTTTCATTAAGCAGATGGGAATGCTGTTTTGGTTTCGTATTGGTAACACTGTTATGGTGACTGAAATGCATTATTTAGGCCTTTTGTTTGTGACGGATTAGGCCGAAGGCATCAATGTCTACCGAGTTCAATGCTTTAGCGTAGTCTACAAGGGCCAGGCTCATTGGTGATCGAAATTCATTGGTCTTTTCCAGAATCTGATTCATATAGTCTGCATGCGGTCGATGATAGAGAAACCTTTCCAAAACCTGACTTGTCACCCGTGTTTGGTGGGCCTCTGAATCTGAAGCTATTCTTTTCTCAACGATGTCTGTAAACCATTTGTTTACGTAAGATAAGATGCTAACGGGGTCCGTGGTTATTTACATCAGTTTGATCACCTGAACGCTATATGAGGTGGGTAGAGGGTCATTATGAACCACTTTAAGTTCTTGTATTTTCCCAATTTTATTTAACAATTACGTAGTACAAAGTTTTATACGTTTTTTTGGGGGGGTTGAGCCGCGTGTCGTTGGGACCGATGGTCCCGACGTTTCGCTCCACGTGCCGGAAGCTTCTTCAGGATTTGGGTTATACGCGGTACAACCCACAAAACACATCGGAGAGCTGTGCAGCACAACGGCGAAAACCTCTGCATCAGTCCAAACATCCATGTCACGTGGTAGTGGTTGGCACACTGACACCGCTTGAGACGTTTCTTGGCTGCACGTGCAACGGGCACGTATTTGTTCACCCCCTACGATTTTATGAATCGCCACGATTTAGAAGTTATGATTCTGCGCAAGAATACATTTGTGTTTTTAAACACCGTGGTAAAAGTAGCACCGCTAGTGGCTGCAAGATTCTTGAGCACTCATTTACATAATCTATACGCCTTAACAATTAGTCAGTTTTCACTTGCATGATTCGATGCATGTATCGGGAGCATTAGAATTGATTATAATCGTCCAATGGATCACCAACATCATTACATGCCTAATATGTAAGCGACTGGCAATATCTGTCGGCATTCATTACATCCGGTTTCATCAGCCCGGTATTTTCCAACAGCAGCTAAGAAGGGTCGCGCCTGATCAGGCTACGTCTTGGTGACCACCTGAAGTTGGGAAACAATATTTTCCTGGATCCCACTCGTTGTCGATTCAGTTTCAGTCTATTGTGAAGTAGCCTGCGAGTCAGGTGTCATCAATAAAAACCACGCTCATCCTTTCCGTGACAGACATAACACATCAGGGAAACATAAATGAATAAAACAAGAGGTAAGAAATCATATAATTTAAAATATCAAATTTATCTTTAAAAGGTTTTAGCCAATTAAGGAATCCAAAAAGGGCAAGTGGTAGTGGTAAAACACCATTTCCCAAGAAACACTACATTTAAATATCCAATTAAAAAATATGTATATATATCTGCGCCATCAATCAACAACGACATTGCACGGAGCAAAACACAGCATTGTTATAAGAACGTGTAGTGCAGACAAGGCACAAGAAGACAAAAGAGGTCACTTACAGGCAAACGATGTCCATACGTCGTCTGCCCACGATGTACGGAGGTCGATCCAACAGCCGATGGGCTATAGATTTTGTATTTATATGCGGAGACACAATACAATCTTTGCTTATTATATACACTTTTACCCAGAATGTTCCACAGCAAACGCACTGAGTTTGTATCCAATAGTCGTCTTGCGTTAAATAAAGTGACGTAGCTTGTATGCGGTACACTTGCCAAATAACATCTGGTAACTCGGCAGCGTTTGTTGAACAAGCCTGACTGCTGATGAGAACCCCAAGGTCAAAACCAATTGAGGCTTTGTTTGATTAAGCTAGTGCTGCTGGATGCTACTGGAAAGTCAAGGCCGATGGGGAACCTTTTATTCATACTCATGGAGACATAGAGAATAATTCTGCTTATATATGCTTTATAATATATTAGGGTTAGAATTTAGTAATGATCGAGGTTGGTAAATTATGCATTCATAATTGAAAGGTGGTAGATCACTACATATTTGCATACCAACTAGGAAAATAATGGATTTTTACTCTTGTGTCTTCTAACAGACAGGCCCTGTGTTGTTCATTCAGGTGAGAGCTTATTGAGTCTAATTGCGTGTTTTTTTGAGGGATAAAATGGGAATGCAAAGTATGCTCCAGAAATAAGAATCTTTAAGAAAAAAATTAAAGTAAAAGTAAATTAGATAACTTGAACAAGGCCCAGGCTCATCAACGGAAATAAGAAATTTATCACAGAAAGCATAAAAAATTCAATAGCAAAACAAAGCAAAGGGGGGAAAAGGGACGTGAGCCAGTAATGATGTAGCACGTGGCAACAATAAGAAAAATAATTTCAGAAGTGGTTTTGTACTGAGGGGTCGGATACTGAGTTTAAATGAGATGCAATATCGTTCCAAGTGTGAGAAGAGCATCGTTGGGACATTCTTTTTTCTCCCCGCTAAATTCCTTGCTGAGAAGGTTTGGGTGGTGGGAATAAAATAAAAGCCCAGGCAAAATATTCCCGGAAAGGTTCGGGATTAATGTAATTGCGAGCTTACATCTACACACACGCGGCTCTGTGCCCCCGTCCCTGCCTTTGTCCCCAGACCACCCCTAATCTACAGTGCGCCGAATTTTCAGTGTTTTTGCAGCCGTTTCCAATATTGTATGGACTTTATTCAAAGCCACGATTTCTGTGACCCCGCCTCCCGTGACCTCTGTCACAAAAGTGTGGCCCTTCAATTTGGATATCGCGATGCAGCGTCGACTCAGCATTGCCAGCAGGCTTCATCAACATTGTGTTTTGTGCATTTTTATTCATACACAGCCCATTCATACGTATGTGTGTATTGTTGTATATCCATCTATATATGTATATTGCATAAGGCACACATACATGCACATAAACCAAATTGATCATTCGTTTCAGCTGTGGTGGCAGGTGACATTGTCAAAAAATATGATCCTTATGGCGGTACCCCTGGGTACCAAATAATACGAAATGGTCGAGGCAATTAAATATTTCTGGGACACTATTTTTTACAGGGGTGTACTTAAAGCCGCGACTGGGGTACCAATCAATCTAAAATCAGTGCTACTCCGCGATGTCGAACTGCCAAACAGCATAAAAAATCCGTTATCGAAAAAATCAACTTTGAATAGTGCATCGTGTACAGCTCGTCGAGATGAGTCGATTGTCGCATCGCCGACCATCAATCGTCTAGAGATGACTGCATCACGGACATTATGCGAGAGCCGGGGTACCGCCATAAGGTTCATATGTTCAGAAAATTTCTGAAATTGCATACTGTGACCCTTTCATGCATTAATTAATCAAATCAAGATCACGTAAAAAAAATTGTTGGTTTAAGGTGATTTTGGGAGTCAAGGTAATCCCAAAATGGGTTTTAAATGTGTACATATAATGTTGTAGCAGTCACATATTATATATCATAGCAGTCCATCAGAGTGTGTGAAAGGGTTAAGTTAGATCAAAGTATTTTTGGTTCGATAATTGGTTTTTTGCCCTTTTTGTCTGGCAACAAAACTGACACCTTTTTTTACAAGGAGTCATGTTTGCATTGACCACAATACTTGCGGTCGGAATGCAAACAAAAACACAACTCTGATAATGTATGCACTGTCCTTGATATTGATTGGTCCACACCTAAGACAGCTTTTCTTAGAGCCTAGTCTCACATGGTGTTGGACCAGATGACGCCAAAAGGCGCATAAAAAAGGTGTCAGTTTTGTTGCCAGATAAAAGGGTAAAAAAACAATTATCATATTTTGCTACTGGCAAACGAGGTTCCAATGGTATTCTTGGTTCTTTCGGTAAAGTCATGTAGAAGGGAAGTAATAAAATAATAAAAATAAAACTATTACATTCTCATGACGTTTCGATCGCAACACAAGCAACCGTCATCAGGTGTGAAACAGAACTGTTGTGTTTGTTTCACACCTGTTGACAGTTGCTTGTGTTGCGATTGAAACGTCGTGATCTATTATTATTTTTTCTACCTACGTGACTTTACCGAAAGAACCAAAGGGTATGGATTCCTGAAAGCTTCAAATCAAGATTAAATCGTTTCAATTACGCGGTAATGGTCACAGTGAGGCTGTCATTGCTCATTGAGGGATCCGGAGTAGCACTCAACTCCATAGGCAGGCGATTCATGACCACATAAGCCATTGCCTACGAACGCATCACCCTGAATGTGCCTGATCTCGTCACATCTTGAAAGCCACGCAGGCTTGAGCCTGGTCCAGGAAACTGCCTGGGAATACCAGGTTTTCAAGGCCATTGCAGATCGTGGCTATCATTGGACGACCGCTTCACCACATTGGTCAGTGTCGGTTGAAGTCAGGTCACATAGACGTCGTGGTATAGATGTACAGTACAACGGCGGATTATTCCTTACCGCCTTTCTGCTGCATAGCACCTGCAGCCTATAACAGCGCGTGGTGGTCGTCCAACTTGGCTTGGCTTCCGAGATCTGACGAGACTGGGGTGCATTCTGGGTGATCTGGTCATAGGCCAGGGCTGGTACAATACCAGCTACTTGGAATTCATTCATGTATCCATGACAACAATCTGGGTGCTCCAGTATAAATTCGATGGCAAATTAGACCACATTCCAAATGAGACCCCAATAAACGCAATCACAGCACAATGTAAAACCCCAAAAAACTGTGCATATGCGCGCGCGCGCGTGTGTGTGCGCGTGGGAAAACGGCGTGCAGTTTTCTCTCCGCGGATGCTGGGCACGGCGGTGGCTCGCTACAGCTTCTCGGCGCGCGACATGCGCGAGCTCTCGCTCTCGCAGGGCGACGTCGTGAAGATCTACAGCAAGAGCGGCGCCAACCAGGGCTGGTGGCGCGGCGAGGTGGACGGCAGGGTGAGGCTCAGCCGGCAAAGCCGCCACTACCCCCCCCCCCCCCCCCCCGGTGATCGCGGTGCCAGGCGTAAGCAACGTCCGTCCGGTGCTCGCCGAGCTGCATTGGTTTCCAGTTGCCGAACGAACACATTGCGAGGTCGCGCTCGTTACACCACACTACGGGCTTGCCACCAATGAACCACGATACCTCGCTGATCTCGTTAAGGAGCATTAATCATCACGGTTGTCCTCGCAGCAGCAGCTTTTGGCTAGCCACTGAAAATAGACGGTGAATGCATCGTGCGTGTTCAGATGTGCCTGTTCAGATGTGCTTCTGCGGCCGTCTGGAACGCTCTTCCTTCCGATATTAGCAAGCCACTGGAGCTATGCACTTTTAAATGATATAGAATGAAAATCCATTTATGTAGAACAGCTTTTTGTGTTATTTTTGTTGTCCTTCCCCCGCACCTCCGATTATATTAGCACAGTTGACTACGTGCAGTGCGAAAGATGTTCAACATACATACAAACGAGGCAAACGCTACGGACCACAGCTTTAAAGTGCAAGGGGCCACAGATTCATGGACGAAATGTGGATGCACCAAATACCAGCTGGAATTCAGATCAATTCCCTGTTAGCGAATTAATATTTCTCATCTCTGTCTGCTCTCAGTTAACTATATCTCTGTGTTTTCTCTACATCTCTCTCATTTAACAATATTTCTGTCTCGCCTAGCATCTGTCATCTGTCCTCTCATTGCACCTATTTTTTGGCCACATTTATCGATAAGAAAAGTGGACAAATGAAGTTGCATCTGAATTACGATTCTAATTTGCAGACATACTATGCCCCAAGTACAAACACCACTCAACGATAATCCTTCATCGTCACCAAAATCTTGCAGGTGTCTTGAAGTGTGCACACAAAATTGCATAACTGCCACACCTGGATAAAGTAAAGAACCAGAATAAAATTTAATGACCAATCCATCGCCACAGAGACCAAGTTGGTAAATGATGTACCAGCATGTCTTGTAAGACTCCCACCCCCTCGGTGGCTAGGAGGTGGCATTACAGAAATTGGCTCCTAATCCGTCCACGTGGATTTTTTTTTACTGTGGATTTGCTCCAGATACAGGCTCCTTCTACATGAAATATCACTCATTAAAAAGGAATTAGCCTCACATCCTCATGCAGTATATTCATAAAATATATGTCATGAAATTCAACGAGGCTTCTCTAGCTATACTGCACTTTGTTGAGCTATCATTTGTGGCCAGGTCACTTTTGCTAAATAAGTGAAATACCTCAGTGGGCTTTGTCTGGTAGAATGGGGATGGTTTAGTTTAATTTGTGTTTGGGTGATGTGTTTACCTTACATGTACTCTTCACTCCAAATAATTTTTTTCTACTGTTTGTTGTTGTTACGTTCCTACCCGCCCCGAATGGACATCTGTGAACAAGATCTTTAAAGCTCATCGGATGGTCGGATTGAACCCATAACCTCCGCCATACCAGAGGCGAGGTAGTCAACATCTCACCATCTAGCTGAGCACGCCTCGAGTGCAGCTCGGTTGTGTAGTGGAATAGAGGCATGGTATTTATCTTTGGGTTGATTCCTTGTGTGCGTGCGTGTGTGTGTGATATAAGCATGTGTGGTTGTGTTTTAGGTTGGGTGGTTCCCGTCGACCTACGTGGAGGAGGAAGGGGTCTAACAGAGGATTGTTGCTGCGCTGGTGAAATCTCTTGGACTACGCTTTCGTCAATTTGTGAAAAAACAAAGAATCCCATCGCGGCGTGGCCCACTGATTGTTTTCCTGTGGTAATCCCATTTGTTTTGTTGCAGCTGCTTTACATTTTAGAAAAAAAAGATTACAAAGTAACATTTTCTACCCGTGGGAAACGTGTATTTACGAAGATAAATGTTTTGTCATTTATGTAATTGATACGTTACATTTGCATAATGTGCGTGTTGATGAACACATACCACCGTTTATTAGGGAAATGTTTAAACCCCGTCTATAAAGCCTTTTTCGACGAAGAAGAATGATGTAACAATAACTTTTGGGCATCCAATAAAAGATGATAGCTGTTGAAATGCTACTCACATAAATTATGAGTACATTTATATTTAGTTTGCAATGGATGGAAAGGATTTGGTTTTGTTTCATGGAAAAATATTATTTTAGATTACCTGCAAATTTTTTAATTTATCCAAACTTATTGCACTATAAAGGTTATTTTAAAAAAATGTTGTCACACATTGCTGTGTGTGCAACAACTATTCTGGTTATGGTACTAAATTGTGATTAGAAATAATTACAAAATAAAAGAGCATAACGTTAGCTTCACCAATGAAATACATTTTTCTTAGAATAGCAATGTTAGGTTCCGCGTGAAAATACAATTCGTGGCATTACGATTGCATGAGATGAGCGATTTAGACTTCAAACGCATTCCCTGTTGAGGCTTTACTTGCGAACACACGGATCCATTTGATGGGGATCTGATATGCATACGTTTGCAAGCGATACATTTGGCTTCAGGTTTTTCCATCTGATAACTTCATACAAGCACTAGGTATTCATGTGTAACTCTCGCCAACCCTGATGGCTAGTCAATCAAAGAGTCAAAGGCCACGCAAAGTCAACCTTTCCCTGTTAAAGAAAAATATTCAAAAATTTCAAGTAAGCTTACGATGGTCATGTTAGCGTTAGAATCGTACTGAAATGTTCTGCGTATGATTACGTATTTAACAAAGTGTAAGTTTGTCGTACAGAAACAATCACAATGGAGGCGAGAGGGGGCTTGCCTGGGTCTCCGTTAGCACAGTTTGATGTACAGCTGTTGGTGTGCCTCAAAGTCCTATTGAGTTTGTGTCAATGCAATGAAGATGTATGCAATGCAGGTACATGGCTGTCGCCCACCCAAGTCACAAGATGCTAAATATGGCACCGTATTGATACAGAGTGCTTTGATTCTGGTATAAGGTGTTATTGCTAAAATGTGGCCATTTCGCCAAATGGTTGGTATATTGACGTTTGCTTTTATAACCACTTACAATTTATTTGACTTTCAATGCTATCAACACATTTATCATTTAGTGCGGAATACGCCGACAGAAATTTTATGACAACCAAAAAAATTATGATGGCCTTGCTATGGTCAATGTTGTTCCATTTGCATTTGCACGCTTGCAGATACACTCTCTTGTTGCATTCAAGCGTACAGCAAACGCCGCTGTGAGGGTTACCACAGCGGCGCGCGGTGTGACTTCCGTCGTGCTGCGCGTTTTGTTCAGCGCGATGTCCGACGTGAGCTTCTCGGCTCATTTCCTGAAGAAGGTCCCAGCGTGGCCAGCGACACGTCGGACATCGGGCAAACAACACGCCGTTGCGATCTGAATAATACACACCAAGAGGAGATAAATATGTTATGCCCGAAATGTGGGGCTTTGGTGATGCCGTGGGAAACACAATAAGTGCAATTTATGCTTCAAATTTGTTAATTCAATTGGGGGAAACAAAGATCTCGGCTAATTGTAGAGCGTGAAGGATGGGCACACACGTAGGGGCAAGGCAGGTGCTCGGTGGGTTATGACCGAGAGTGTTCATAGGAAGTGGAGGTGGCTTGGGGAAGGCCAGCCTAAACACAATAGCGAGAGGGTTTGTTTTCATTTGCTTGCAATCTCATGTCTGCTCGAAAGTGGAATAAACAGCCACGGTGTATTTTTCAGACAATAACACGCAAGTGTAACATGCCTTACAGCAAGCTACGATATGGCAAGTTTTTTTAATTCGGATTTATTCTAACTTGACAAAATTTGCCACTCCCATTAGAGGAATCGCCAGAGGGCGATCGTGTTACATATCTGGAAAGATTTGTTTTTATGCATATGGCTTGGTATAATCCAAAGGTTAGTTTGCTACGTATAAATATAAATACACACACATGCTAAGCAATGGTTGTACACATCCTGGGGTGTTACCAATGTCTATACAAATGGATCCTTCGTGATTTTTTTCCAACTTTTTCCCCCGATACTATTTGAACATTGCTTGACAAACTTTTCATTGGACACCTCTCGGTGAAAATAGTGCAACATTCAATGTTATATCCAACGGTCTCTGGAAGGTGATGTATCTGTGAACCTCCGAGACCCCTTCGGTTGTCCAGATGTCTCCTCTAACGCTAGGCGGCGGTGCGCCTTCCCAAGTGGTCAGCTATAGAATCGTTGATTTCCAATGCGGTAACACTGATATTGTTTTCGTTCTTAGAACTGGAATATTTTAGAATTTGGTAAAGAAAAAAAACATTTAGGAGTGTTATTTTGTATGTTCGTGTGTTAATTTCTGCCCGAAGAAACCATTAACTCAGTGCACTTGAGAACCCTCGTTCAATCGCGGGTGGATGCCCAGATTCAAACATCGGCGGTGCCGGGCTCAACGCACTGACAATGATGTGAGCTCAATGAGCCATATGGCCAAATGTGTAGGATTTTAGGGCCCTCATTTGGAACTACTGATAAATCTTCACCTTTGACCTGCATGAAGTCACTCTGCCCTCTGTGGTTATTTACACGTCATGGAGTGGTCCGTAGCAACATGATTTATGCAAAATGTCAATAACTCGATTAACTTTATAGCCAGGCGTGAACCTATAGCCGAGACAGAAAACATCTCTTTTGTAAATGTGGGCAGACTGTTCACTGAAAGATGGTGCATTCAATTTTAATTTAACTGAAAAGTTCGAAATATATTTATGTATTTATTTATGCTTTTAAATTAGCATCGTGGTGTTCGTTTGTCGCTTTCATGAACTCTGTCTGAATGGTGCCCTGGTGTTCATGGTTAGCACACTGGACCTGAAGTCCAGCGGTCACCGGATCCATCTGCCAGCACGGCAGATGAAACAACGGTGCAAGTTTCTTAAATCCTTGCCCCAGCTATGCACCCAGCAAGAATACATGGGTACAACACAATCGATCAGCAGAAGGTCGTGTGTGGGTGGGGTAAAGTGTGGGTACTCTCACTTCTTCCAAGCTGTCTGAGAGTGGGCCGAAACACTCTCCTATCTAGAGCTCCCTCGAGTGGAGGCCCTTCCGTTAGCAGCGGCATGAGCACGTAGTTGCAGGGCTGCGCCTTTACCGTTGTCGTAAAGCACCTTCAAGTGGGCGCAGACTGCTGTGACAGCACCGTGTGACGTCGTGGAACTGACTCGTGCTGTACATTGTAAGACGAGACCTACTTCATGGATGGTACAATGCTTGCACTAAAATGTATCACTTTTAATGAGTTGCAAGGCAAGTCTCGTGTTTATATGTGTAAAGAAAAGTATATGGTAAAATGTAAAAATCTATCAAGAGTTCTGTCAGCTTAAATTTGCCACAAGTAAGCCTCTTCTAGATGGCTGTTGTTCAACGAATTACCTGTTTATAGATGCAGCTCACTCATCAAAACATTAATTAAAATGTATTTCTAGTAAATAGGAAAAAAATCCTTTGGCCTTTTTTTCTAAATGTAAGATAAAATATATAACGTTTAAAACAAACGATAAAAAACAAATAAGGCCATTAGCATATTCTCCAGAGAAGAAACACGGTTTCCATTTAAACTCTTTGAAGAGAATCACAGAGCATGCCACTTTGTGTCCTCACTTTAAAAAACAAAGTCCAATAATGTGTGAATGCTACAATGAGGCATTTGAACACTACATCTGTATTCTTCAACACGTGCCCACCAATTCCTCTACATATAACGTCTGCCTTAGTGAAAACATTTTACTCAACATTGATAAGTGGATTTGTTTTATATATATATAATGCAGCAGCTGCCTTGGGGTTAATATTTTAAAGGAATGCCTGAAAGCTTCGTCAGTTTTTTTCCAGGCTTATTTTATAGAAAACATTGCAAGCATGGAATAAAGACGAATCAACAACAATGCCATTGGTATAAAATAATCCAATACTTAATTTGATCTGTAAATCACGTGTACATACAGTAAGTGGTGTGTGTTTATCCAGTTAAAAGCTTTAAACTTCCATAGTTGCTTTGGGATTCATATAAGTAGCAATTTTGGAAATTTGAGAGCCATACATTTTATGGTAATTTAACATTTTGTTGGTGTATGTATATTATTTTTGTACTTTACTAAGGACAACATTTAAACAAACATTAATACTATTAATTCCATGGGAAAATGGTTTTATGTTTTTTTTTATTTCTTCCCTTAAATGTCTCATCTCTTTCTGACATTTGCACAAGCCTTCAATAATAACAAATCATTTGTTTATGCAAATTCCCAGCATATTTGAAATGCCTAAAACTGCAGGTTGTACAAAATACATACGGTGTCAAAAGTTCTACTGTACATTTATGAAACTTACTTATATCTGATGTATCAATGATGGCATTCCGGCTAATCAAATAAAACGTTGTACAAATGCTGTGGGTGGCTGTCGTTCTCTTGCTCAATAGCAGACATTCTGTAAATCACAGGTGTTGTTTAGTCGCAACCCAAACTATGGGCAACATCACAAACCACTGGTCTGTGTCCCCTTCAACGGACTTGGAAAAGCGAAACGACACGAACTCTCCCCTGAAGCCCTCTCGTGGTGAGCAGACCTCCTGGCACATTGCTGCCATACGCAATGCCAGAACAAATGTGTCCTGAACTTTGTGTAGAGTACACGATTTCCCCTAAAATATAAAATCAAATAAAGTCTTCCTACCCCCTCCAACGAACTTATCTTACAACCAGGGTATAGATGGATGTAGCCTTACAAATGCATATAAAAACAGCGAATGAGAAAATGGAATGGAACAGGTTAACGAAGGCATGTAATGTCAGAAAGTAACATGCAAGTTTGCTAAACAATACTAATCAACCGTCAAACGGGGAAATTTGAAAACAACAGAATGTGTACTGATACATGAGAATGAGCGGGATGGGAATTCCTCTGGAACCTTATCGCGGCAACGTGTCTGAATATCGGTGCAATTGGTGCGTGCTGTCAGGTATGGCATAGGTCAGAAACATGGACACCGATAGAGAAAATGAACACATGTTGGAATGTGGACGAAATGTGACCTGCAGGATTTGAACGTATGCGACCACATGAGGTCAGTGGAAAGAGCAATGTCCGTTTCGCAGGTGCTTCTGACACCAGTGGCATTAATTTAGAACAGTTGTGGGTGCCAATGCCCCAAGCACTGTTATCGACTCTGGTGGACCTCAACACAACCTGCGGTCCGTGAGAAAACTGTTCTGACCAACAATACAGTGTACACATAAAGTCGTAGCACCATCTATTGGTGCAACTTATTTATTGTATATAATGTATGACTTCTAAGTGGGGGGATTTTTTTTGTATTTGTCATCAGCCGTAACTTCCCCTCCACTAATTTCCGCTCCACACTCAAAACTCACTTATTTTCCTGAGCTCACCCTCCCCTTAATTTCCGATCATAACCGCCACCCTGACTGTTCCTTCTTCATATTCTCATGCTATGGCTTTCACCCCATTCCCCGTTCATTCAATCCATGCATCATTTACTCCCATTAAGTTCACTTTCACCGAATTCGCGCATCACAGATTTTTACCCCCCATTGCTTCCTCTCATCTATTTCATTCGCCTCATCTCCACCATTACATTCACACGTTCTACCGTTGTTAATTATGGATAAGGTGATGATATAGAAATGCCTCTAAGATAAGATGCGTTTGAGATCCGCCCGTGGGTTCTGCCACCGCTGGTTCTGAGTGAAAGGCTGCGATGCACCTGCCTGGGTGATAACAAACAAAACATGTCACAGGGGAACAAATGGATATTTCGTTTTATTTCAGTAAAATATCTTTGCCTCGTTTTACAAAATTTGACGCACGGCACACATGCAATCCGGCAAATTGCTTCACGTAAGTATAGTTTCACCTGTGTACAGTATTAGAATGTGAGCCATAATGTGCAAAAACCTAAATAAAATAAAACCATGGCTCTACCATGTACTTTATATTTACATGGCGACGGCTGATGTTGAAGATCTTTTATCTTCTCACGGCATTGCTGAAATTAGTTGAGGCTCAACGTTGGTTTTTGTTCTACATGAATGTCTCCGAAAATGTGTGAATTTTGGTTCTTGGCCATGGTGGTATGAGATTACTCCTACTTCTTCCAAGACGTCTTGGCCAGCGGGTAAGAGACCACAGTAGCTTTCAGATGGATCCTCTCATAACTCCCCTCTGGTAGAGGCTCATCTGCCAGCAGTGGAGTGTGCAAGATAATTGCAGGGCCGCGCCTTTACCTTGTGGCGACGTGATGTCGAGCAACAGATTTAAAAACCGGAGCTGCTATTACTGCCACCTCATATCATGGTGCAAGTGGCAACATCCCTGGCTTTTACATCAGTGTCGTGTTCGGACACCACAAGAAAACTAGTTAATGAACGGCAGAGCAATAGAGTTGGGTGAAGACTTTGAGAGAGACGTTTGGCAGGAGAGAGAACTCGAGGTGGAAGGGGAGAGTGAGAGATGCGAGAAAGAGACCGAGGGACAGGGTTGGTGGAAAGAACTTGGAGAGGATGGGGAACATTCTGGAAGGTTACTGGGTGGGGGGGCAGAGATCTTTCTTTGAGTGTGTTTGTTGCTGGGACAATGGAGTTCACTTGTGAGGACGTTTCGAGTGAATTCCCATTCACAAGTCTTGCCTCAGTCTCGCCCCCACCACCGTCACCAGGTAGAGAGAGAGAGAGACCGCCGATTTGTTCACAATTGGCTTGAACCCGTTGCGTAATTTCCCTGCGGTACGCAACTTCTATTCATAGCTTTCAAGCAACTATACAACGAGTTTTGTACTATAGACACATAAAATACTGTGTTGTTTTATATGTACAAAATTTTGTGATTATAGCATATGGTATTTCGATATAAACAGCACTGTATATACAATATAATAATAAAATAAATGTGCAGTTCACTGATCAATGCAACTGTTATTCATTTAAAATATTCTGGAACCATTTAAGGTTTCAACAAAATACATTCCTGCGGAGGGAGCTGGTAGGAACGTTGGGTTGCTCGGTCAATGGCCAGGGTCAACGGCGGCGTGGTGTATTCCGCAAATATTCCCGACTTTGAGGGCGGGTACAAGCCGGCGTGAGTAGGTTAAACGTTGAGTTTTATAAGGGCACCACGGGGTGACCAGCAACTCCCCACCCAGCCCCACCCCTCCCATCCCCCACCCAGCCCCACCCTCCCCACCCAGCCCCTCCCCACCCTCCCCACCCAGCCCCTCCCCACCCTCCCCACCCAGCCCCTCCCCACCCAGCCCCTCCCCACCCAGCCCCTCCCCACTCTCCCCACCCAGCCCCTCCCCACCCTGCCCTCCCCACCCAGCCCCGCCCTTCCCCACCATCCCCTCCCCACCCAGCCCCTCCCTTCCCACCCAGCCCTCCCTCCACGACGGACGGACAGACACAATAATCCCCTGTGGGCTGGTGGAACCAGCGGGTTCCGACCAGTATATATTTTAGAGTGTGACTTAACGCTGCTCCACTGCAATGTTTATTTTGTTCTGGGCTGGGTATAGTGGACAGTAAAACGCGTTTGAGAACGTTGAGAAAACATGTGATGGTGTGGAGGTAACTTTTCTATTCAAAGGGAAAATAATTCATTCGGTAAATACGATTTATAACTTTAGATGTACACGGCATTCCTCGGCTCAATTGATAATTTGTTTACAATTACGGTACAAGGCAAGATGATAATATATAATATATTATATAAGAATATTATAGAATATATTTATTATATAATGTATTTATTCTTGTTCACCGAGTGATTACCGTTGAGCAACGTTTGAATGTGTGAAGTTTCTGGAGATTGAATTGCCCTGCAAGGCCGCGTTTCAATGACGCAGTCCATTTTGAACGGTTTGCATTCAAAAGCAAACGCACGAGGCTGTAAGAGCGTTGTTTGTTGTTTGTTGTTGTTGTTTTACCTGCAGCAAGATCCCCATTGCGACCGTGACGAGTCCTTGTCAAAAGCCAGGCGGCATTCATTTCTTGAATCAAGTGGCCGATTGCATGCAATGCCTTCACAGGGACTCGCTTCTTCGTTAGACTTAAAGTGACACAAAAGTAAGGAAACACGTTGACATGTTTAATGCAGCCGGACTACACTTAACAGTTCCCCCCGTTCTACTTTTAACATCTGAAATATGTGCGTCCCTTTTGTCCCATCTCCTGTTGGATGAGGACCCTCCCCACGGCCATGGAGGCTGTGGGCTGTATTTGACCATTCGGTCGTCCTCCACTCTTGGTGACGGTGAGAAGCATCGATTCGGAGCATAGAAATACAGCACAGTAGTGTACAACAATAGATGTTGCTGTACTTCCCCCTCTGCTCTACACCATGTAAACCCGCTGATGCCTGTATAGCGACATGTCTACGCACCGTGGCCACGCATCCAAGCGCTGTGCAATCTCGAATCCCTGCTTAGCTTCTGATCTCTGACACAATTGCACGGAGTCCGTGTACATTTAGTCATACATCTGCGACGCTTGCTCAAATAAAACCAGGCCCCTTTAACTTGGAGAATCCCTCATTTTGTGAGCACGAATTTTCTATTATGGGAAGATGCATTGGCTGCCTTATAGGAAGATTGAGAATATATCACATAGTATGGAAAATGCAGATGAACCGTTAATAACTGGGAGCTTGTGAAGTATAATTTTCCAGCAAGAGCAATTTAGCATATTCAGAGAATAACCACCGCTTTGTCGCATTCAATTTCACGAAATACATTCCACATAATTAACATAAAAGAGATTCTGAACGCTACAGAGAATATACATATTATCCTTTTTCTTAAACACCACTTTTTGAATTATCTCAATGATGGAATGACTGCCAGTCAACTCATTCAGAAAGGTTTTGCAAGAGAGTTTCACGTTGATAAAGTGAATGAATGGGAATTGCACGGTTAACACTGCACTTGATATACGGATTATATATCTCAAGGGAAACACTGTCTTAATGGCATGAGCAGTATTATCCCATACCAGTGTGTATTTTTTTTTAAGTTTGTAGGCAAACATTGCTAATCGTTCGCATGTCTCTTCGTGGATTTTGGGCTTGATAAAAAAATGCCTCTAAAAAAAAGCGTGTAAAGTAGCGTGAAGAGATTCATGTTTGCAGTAGTTACACGGAGAGACAGAACGAAGTACACGTGTACACGTGTACACGAGAACACGAGAACACGTGTACACGTGTACACGAGAACACGTGTACACGAGAACACGAGAACACACGCAGATTCATTGAATTCAAGCTGTTAAGAAAAGTAAGTGGGGTGAAGCAAGACACATCACGATCAAGGATATGACAAAATTCTAGATTTGAAGCTTTCGTGACTGCAAGGATTCATATTCTTAGGTTTTTTCGGTA